GACAGCATTTTTTTACCTACTTCTTAATATTCACAGCTTCCCAGTTCTATTTAATGTCCAAAAAGGGTTTCCCAAAATTTCGAACTCTTTCACTATAAAGATTTGTTATGAAAAATGTGGTTTGGGGAATTACCTTATTTTATATTGTTGAAAACAAACTTCAGATTCTACATGTGCCGCTCTTCTCCTTCCCTAAAGGGTATGTTCAGAGTTGTTTTGTTAATATACTTTAACACTTTAAATTTCCTGTTTGTATTATTTTGTGAGATCAAAGTGATTATGCTGCTTAAGGTCCAGGTACAACCTGTTTGTACCGTGTGAGACGATATTTGTGTTATTTTTGCAGGTTACGGTTCCACATGTAATTGCTATATTCTGTTTTGTTTTTCCTTACTAGGCAAAGTTAAAGAAAATGTTCCATGCTTTGAAAAGTGACCCATTTCACTACTTCGTTTTTTTATCACTAAAGTCAAAAATCAAAGCACAGTTGTCCATTAACACTTACAAGTTAATTATGGGTTTATGAATCTGTAATGTTATATGCTGCAAATATTTACTATGTAAACGTGAAGTAGCCAGTATCTCAATAGCAATGACAGTATCTCCAGCAGCCTTTGGAATGGATAGGCACAGGTCACTGTGGTCATGAATTCAGGCCTCTGTACTAAAATCTGTTTCAAGGGATGCTCTGTCTAGTGATTTATTTACCATTTGATATGAAATGAATTATAGGACAAGTATAAATTGACCTGTTGTAGCTTATCCATCAGAGGGAATACATGTGGCTATAACATCTGTAATAAAGCTGATATAATTCTTCTATAAGAGGCCGTTTCCCACTGCTAACATTCGTGTTTCTGGTGTGGGAAGAAATGCTCAAGGAGTGTGCATGGCATCTATGTTCAGACAGCTGCATTTGAGAATTGTGTGATGCTTGTCTGAAAAGGGAAGAAACAGGATGATTTTCCTATAGCCACAACTGTGAGGTATAATTATTTTTCTTTTCTGAAAATAAATTCGAGTATCTGTGGAAGCTGTAACTTTTAAGGCAGTCAATTTCATGTCTTGTTCAAAGATGGAAGCAGAAAATGAATTACTCTAATTTTACCAAGTGGCCATTACTGGGTTTACTGTTTAAGTAAAGGAAATAATCCCAATTTACTCATTGTGACTTTTGTCCTTAGGGAAGCAGGGAAGATTCCCCCCAAGTTCTCATAACCTCAGTGTGCTTTCCTAATTTAAAGCCATGTTGAGGGGCTCTATTCCCAATTCCTAGGTCAAGTTGAATTCACCCCAAGTTGGAGCACTGGAAACTGTTATTTGCAAACATTGCTATTACCATTTAGAAATATGTGCACTACCTAAGTTTGTCTTTTGAAAAAAACTATCCACCTATAAAAAATTGCCTTGACAAAAACAGTTCTGGTTTGAGTAATCATTTTGTTTCTTTAAGTGATGTGTATGCAAGGTGGATCCTTGATGAGCCAACATTGCACTGTGGATACATATCTATGTTTACGCGCTATTAGAACAGAAGGCGCTGTATATAGAAATGTTGCTTTGAAGCAATATTTGCAAAACATGCAAACTTCTGTATCTGTATTTGGAAAAAATAAAACAAGTTCTTGTTGCTATGTTTCAGTCACGTATTATTGAAGTATGGTCATGCGCTGCATAACAATGTTTCAGTCAACATTGGACTGCATTTACACAGTGCTCCCAAAAGATTATAATGGAGCTGAAAAATTTCTATTGCCTACTGATGTCTTGATGGTCCTACTGTGTAGGTGTAGGCTAATGTGTGGGTTGTCTTAGTTTTTAACAAAAGGTTTAAAAATTAAAAATTTCTTAAGTAGATAAAAGCCTACAGACTAAGGATATATAAAGAAAATATTTGTATAGCTGTACAATGTGTTTGTGTCTTAAGCTAAATGCTATTACAAGAGTTAAAAGTCAAAAAGTTTATAATGTAAAAAATAAGCTAAGGTTAACTTATTACTGAAGAAAATTTTTTTAATATATTAAGTGTACAGTGTTTTTAAAGTCTGGAGAAGTGTATAGTAATGTAGGCCTTCACATTCACTTACCACTTACTGACTCACCCAGAGAAACTTCTTAGTCCTGCAAGTTCCATTCATGGTATCTCCCCTACACAGGTGTACCACTTTTTATCTTTTAAGATGTTTTTTCTTTAAAGAGTCAGTGTCTCATTATGTTGCCCAAGCTGGATTAGAGTTCCTGGGGTCATGCAGTCCTTCTGCCTCAGGCACAGTAATAGCTGGGACTGTAGGCACATGCCACTGCACCCAGCTATTTATGCTATACTGTATTTTTATTGTACCTTACCATTGTGTTTCAATTGCCTACAATATTCAGTACTGCTGTACAGGTTTGTAGCCTAGGAGCAATAGGCTATATTACATAGATACCGTGTTTCCCCGAAAATAAGACCTACCCATTAAATAAGCCCTAGCAGGATTTCTAAGCATTTGTGCAATATAAGCCCCACCCCCAAAATAAGACCTAGTGATGGGCGTGACTATGCAGTGTATCTGCACAACCCATGCATTTTGTGGGTCGTGGAGCGGTAAAGAAGACAATGAGCGCTCTATTGCTCAACATGAGAGATTGGGGCCAATGGTTCTAAAGGAAATAGAGTCGCAAGAAATTCAGGATAAAATTGGGGGTTTGGAGAGTCATGATGTTCCAGAAGACAACTTAACTCTATTTGAATAAATGTAGATTGTTGTACTGTACCTTAAAAAAAATAACACATCCCCTGAAAATAAGCCCTAAGGTGTCTTCTTGAGGAAAAATAAATATAAGACCCTATCTTATTTTCGGGAAACATGGTAGGTGTGTAGCAAGCTGTACCACTGAGGTTTGTGTAAGTATAGTCTATGAGGTTCACACAAAGACAAAATTGCCAAATGGTGCATTTCTCAGAACATATCCCCATGGTTAAGTAATACATGACTGTATAAAATTCTTTACCCTATTTTAAATATGTATTAATCTTCTATAAACATTACTTTTTTTTTTTTTTTAAGAGTCTCACTGTGGCGCCCTTGGTATAGCTCACTGCAACCTCAAACTCCTGGGCTCAAGGGATCCTCCTGCCTCAGCCTCCTGATTAGCTGGGACTACAGGTGCACACCACATGCCCTGGCTCATTTTTCTATTTTTAGTAGACACAGGGTCACAGTTTTGCTCAGGCTGGTCTCCAGAACTCAAACCAATCAATCCTCCCTCCTTGGCCTCTCAGAGTGCAAGGATTATAGGTATGAGCCACAGCCCCTGACCAACATTACCTTTTAAAGGAAGCCTGCTTTTATCTTCTAAACAGATCAATCTTTTGCAGGGAGGTGGGTGCAAGCTGCAAGAAATCCCAAGAAGTAGCAAAAATACTTTGAATTTATTTGTCTTTAATATTCAAAAGCAAGATGTCCCACACCAGCTCCCAACCCAGTCTGGCTGATGCTTTTTGGTGGTGTGAGCTGCAGGCTTATTAGATTTTGATTGTTGAAAGCAGTACAAGGAAAACAAGTCCTGCCTCACTGCAATAGGACCAATCCAAGCTGCCTATGGACCCCAACTAGCTCCTTCCTGGGTGGGCAAAAACCTTACAGAACACTGGGTTCTAAGATTTCATGACAGGTCATCTCCATCACTTGCCAAATTCTTTCTTCCCTTTCGAAACAATTATCTTGTTTAGAAAATAAAAGGGAGCCACTTGGAGACATTAAGAATTAAGAGTAGCTTCAGTAATGTAAACAGTCCATTAATTCACACCAGTTCAGCTTTTTTTTTTTTTTTTTCTATCAGAGAAGTTGAGACAAAGAGTTCTGCTTCTTAAATCCTACCAGAGACCTAATATTTGGCAAGGAAGGAGGTGAGCAAGCCTGGGCATAAGGCAGAGCTCATAAGAACTAGTCTGTCAGGGCATACAGTAAAACGCTTCACATTAACATAGACCAGTATCTTGAGCCTGTTGCAAAACCTGTACCCAAGGGAAGGTGGAGCACGTTGGTGGCTGTATTGGCATGGTAGCCGGTTAAGTGAGCATTTAATAGAGCCAGCCTATTTCGCCTGCAGGAAACGCAAGTGGGTCCTTGGAAGCTCAGGAGAAAAATTTCCCAGATGTGGTGGAGGGATGGCTCAGGTCTAGTTAACATCTAAAAAGCTCATAATAGCCAACAAACGCTCGGGGAATAGGAAACAAAGGCCTTATTCTATGGGCTCCCAACTTCATTTCGCCACCAGCCAGAAAGGTGGGAAATAGGTTCGGTAAAGTAAACCCAATAAAGGACGAACGAAAGAGACACACCAGACGACAGGAGCTGCCAAAACTCGTTTTTCATTAACACGGGGTGCGGTGCCAGGCTCAAGCCCGGAGACCCTGGCCCCAGTTCCCAGAGCGCGCCCAGGCCGGGCCGCCCACGGGACCGCTTCTCAACCAGTGATGCGCACATCGGTGCGGCGGCGGAGGCGGCGGGCCCGCGCCGCTTCGGGCAGGATGGCGAGTAGCTGCTCCTGCACCAGCATCTCCACGATCTGCTCCTTGGTGCGGATGTCGGGTCGAAGCCATTGGCGAGACAGCTCCCGCAGCTGCCGGAACGCCTCCCGGGGACCCGCCGCGTCCTGGTAGCGGAACTGCCGAAAACGCTGGCGGAACGTCTCGGGGCCCAGCCGGGAGCCGCCGGGGCCCGGCGGGGAGCGCGCTGCGGCTTCGGCCTGCGGTGCCGAGCCTAGGGGCGTGGGCTCAAGGGGCAGCTCAGGGGCCGCGGAAGCCGCCGCCGAGGGCGTACGAATCGCTTCGGGGACCGCGGCGTTGAGGCTGGAAGGCTCAAGGGCAGGCGGTGAAAACCCTGTGGTCGAGGAGCCGGCAGAGTTATGCTGAGGGTCTGAGCTCGGGCCAGCTCCTTCCTGTTTCTCCGGCGGCATCGCGGAGGGGCTCCCAGTAGCCTCCAAGCCGGGCTCCGTCGCCGCCATGACTCCGGCTCCGTGCGTCACTCTTTGTCCCGCAGCTGTGGGCTCAGCACTGCGTCTGCGCTGGGGCGGGGTGAGGAGGGACACGTTTCCGGTTAGAGAGCGGAGCGGCCGCGACCCTGGAGGGAGGGGCTCGGGACCGACCGAGAGCGCATGGAGCTTACCTGCACCGGCGAAGCGCCTAGAGCAGCCGGAAGCTGAAGTCTCCTCTGGCTTCTCTATGATCAGGTCTGCGCGAGGACCCGGAAGCCGAGTGTGAGCTCTTGGATGTGGCCCCCTCTAGCGTTCTCGAGTCGCATCGGAGGCGGCTGCAACCGAGATGCAGAAGGCCTATGAAAGTAAGCGATGGTCCCTGGACTATGGTGGCGCCGCCGAGCACCAGGTCCAGGAGGAGTCGGAGGAGAAGTTGGATGAGCATTTGAAGGAGAAGGAGGAGTTGGAGAAGGAGCCGGTGCAAGAGCCGGAGCGAGAGCCGGAGCAAAAGAAGAAGCAGGAGAAGCAGAAGCGTCCCAAGTTCCAGGTAGACTTTTGAGTCGGCACCTTAGCCAAATAAACACTTCGGCTTGAAGGTGACCCGCGCCTTTCTGTGCGGGCGCTCCTCATTTGACCCTGATCTGTAGCTCTTGACAACCCTTCAGTAAATAATAAGGATGATGGCTAGTCAGGGGCTCATCGGGGCTGGCGCCCAGCCGGTGATCCGGACGGGCCAGCGTGACAGCAGACAGGTTCGAGGTGAGGTTCAGGAAAGTTCTCTCGCCTGGACAAATGAGGAGGGCAAATGGCACCCTCCTTATTGCAAGGATGACAAAATACAACGTGTGTAAGATCCTCAGCACACTGCTGGCACAAAGTAATGCTCAAGAACTCTTTGCCATTATTTTTTGCTTGTCCTCTGAAACCAAGGGACAGGCGGCTCTGTGGGTTCTCCTTTTAACATTAGGATTAATAAAGTGAACTGTAAATGCATTGCCCCATTTGGTGGTCACTGGCCACGTGTGTTACTGAGCCTTTGAAATGTAGCTAGTCCAAATTGAGATGTACTGTATTGTAAAATATACAGGGGACTTAACAAGAAAAAAAATGTAAACTCTCTCAACAATTTTTATATTATGTGTTGAAATATATTTTGCATGTATTAGGTCAAATAAAATATATTATTAAAATTAATATCACCTGTGTCCTTTTACTTTTTAAATGTGGCTACTAAGAAAATTTTAATGTATGGTTTATATTATATTTCTGTTGAACAGCACTGGACTGGAGTGTTAGAGTCAGGCTACCTTGGTGGAATCCCTTTTGCAGTGTTTATATGCCTTACCACGTCTGGCAATAATGCAGAGTTGTTGGGAGGACTAAATAAGTAAAACCCTTGGAAAGAAGAGGGTTTTAAAATGTTTGTTCTTGTTTTCATTAGGTAAATTGCTTGCTATCTCAGAGCTACAGTTTCTTATCTGTAAAATGTGGATGCAATAGAACTTACCTCATAGAAGTTACTGTGAGAATTCAGTGAGATGATGCAGGTAAAAGCATATGGCTCTGACAGACCTTCAGTAAATGGTATAGTCTGCTTGACAGCTGACTGACAGATGGGTTTTATATGCCCATTTTACAAAGGAGGAAACTGAGGCCCAGAGAGGGGCAGGAGGCTCATACGAAAGGTTTTGTATAACCCTTGCAGTCCCTTTCAGCTCCGTGTGGGGTGGATGGGGCCATGTTTAACAACCATTAAAAATCAGTGGCCCTGATATAAAACTTGCCCCTCTCATAGGATGTCTCCTTTGATTGGTAGAAGTGGATCCTCATGGAACAGTCTGAATACCCTGAAAACCTTGAAAGTTACAGCAGTGGGTCTTCAATGCTTTTTAGTCACTGACATGTAAACACTGGGAGATTTCACTTGCAAATCTGGATTTCTAGCTTTTCTTGAAAAAGTGCAAGAGCTGGCCACATTGGACCCTAATTCCTGCCAGTTCACAATCAGCTGACACTGAGTAGAGACTACTTGCTTTAGACAAGATACTCTGTCCCAGTGGATTCAATCCCCATCACTCCCTATTCTCTGAAACAGAATGTTGTTTGCATTTGCTATTGCTCTCAGGTTGTTGTTTTCCTTAGAGCTGATATTTTCCTCTATTTTGTTTTCAGTGGTGGAAAAATGGGGGCTTAATGTTTTTTATGCCTACTGGCTTCATACTTTTACTTGTCCTGTCGGACTCCTCGGCAGTTGGGTTTGCTGCTCAGAGTGAACCAACAGTCCTGTTCCCTGTGTGGTAACAGGTAGTCAGTTTCCAGGGCTAAGGGAGCACACCAGAGCCTGCTGTAGGAGCCAGGGGCCTCCCTGGGGAGGGGGACCTTCAAGCTGAGACTTCAGAAGAAAAAGGGTGGAGTTTGGAGCCATTCCAGGTAGAAGGCATTGCCTGTACAAAGGCACATAGTGCATTTACATAAAGCAAAACTTTATGGAAACTGCAGGCTACATGGGTAAGTGGTTGTAGGGAAGGGGTGAGAAATGAGGTTGGAAGGTTGGTGGAGATTAAGTTATAAAGATCCTAGAATTCCACATTTAAAATTTGTCCTTTTCTTCTTAGGAAATGGAGTGAATGCTTGTGGTACTTGGAATCATGGAATGTTAGATCTCTAATCGATTTCTTCCATCCCTACTGGAATCATGGAAGGAGAGATCTGTTAGAATCATGGAATGTTAGGATGGAAGAGGCCTTAGAAACTGAATCCAAAAATACAATTCAGTTATTCTAAACCTTTTCTGGGTCAGTAAGCCTCCAAAATCTGGGGGAAAAAAATTATAACAACTCTTCTTAAAAATGGGATGCTATTATATACTTCTGCATATAATTTCAGATAATTTACATATATCCTTGAACCTGCCCAGAGGTCCTAGATTAAGTTTAAGATATATATATTTATATTTTATTCTCCTAAATTTTGCAGATTAAGAAGCTGCGATGCAAAAAGATAGTGTATTGCTTCAAATCCAAAAAGATGGTAAGTGATTCCATGAGGACAGAAATATTTTGACTTCTAGTAAAGCTCTTACCACTAGATTGGGAGTTTATTTGGGAAGGGATCAAAAACCATTCATCTCATATCACTTAGCCTCCAGCACAAGGCCTGACTCCCAGTCAGCCCTTGGTAGGTGTTGATTTAAGGGAAGAAGACAAATGTGGACTGCAGAGCATCCCTGGGAAGGGACAGCTCTAATATGATTCCCAGACTCTTTCAGAGACTTTGGTGTCTTTTGATGACACGCTGCTGTTGGAGATTTGGAAAAGAATCCTGGATACTTTTTTATTGATTGATTGATTGATTGAGACAGAGTCTTGCTCTGTTGCTCAGCTGGAGTGCCATGGTGTCAGCCTAGCTCACAGCAACCTCAAACTCCTGGGCTTAAGTGATCCTCCTGCCTTAGCTTCCTGAGTAGCTGGGACTACAAGCATGCACCACCACACCTGGCTAATTTTTCCATTTTTAGTTGTCTGGCTAATTTCTTTGTATTTTTAGTAGAGACGGGGTCTTGCTTTTGCTGAGGCTGGTCTCGAACTCCTGACCTCAAGTGATCATACTTCTCAGGCTCCCAGAATGCTAGGATTACAGGTGTGAGCCACCATGTCTGGTCTGGATACTTTTTTAAAAAGCTTTTAATTTGGAAATAATTATAGAATCATAGGAAGTTGCAAAAATAGTACAGAGAGATCTCATGTACCCTCCACTTAATTTTCCCCAATGGTAACATCATATATAATTATAATACAATATCAAAGCCAGGAAATTGACATTGGTACAATCCACAGACCTTATCACATTTTACACACAATACTGCCTTGATTAATGTAGCTTTATATTAAATCTTGAAATCAGGTAGTGTAAGACTTCCAACTTTGTTCTTTTTCAAAATGTTTTAGCTTTTCTAATTCCTTTGCTTTTCTCTATAAATTTTAGAATGAGCTTGTCAATATCTAAAACAAAATCTTTCTGAGATGCATTTTTTTTTCTAGATCAATTTGGGAAGACTTGACATCTTAATAATATTCTAATTAAGTCATCTAACATGGTATATCTCTTTATCTTGATGTTCTTTAATTTGTTTTGTTGTTTTGAGACAAGGCCTTGCTCTGTCACCCAAGCTGGAGTACAGTATTGTGATCATAGCTTACTGTAACCTTGAACTCCTGGGCTTAAATGATTCCCCTGTCTCAGCCTCCCGAGTAGCTAGGACTACAGGCACATGCCACCACGCCTGCCTAATATTTTTTTTTTTTTTTTTGAGACAGAGTCTCACTTTGTTGCCCAGGCTAGACTGAGTGCCGTGGCATCAGCCTGGCTCACAGCAACCTCAAACTCCTGGGCCCAAACGATCCTCCTGCCTCAGCCTCCCGAGTAGCTGGGACTACAGGCATGCGCCACCATGCCCGGCTAATTTTTTCTATATATATTAGTTGTCCAATTAATTTCTTTCTATTTATAGTAGAGATGGGGTCTCGCTCTTGCTCAGGCTGGTTTCGAACTCCTGACCTCGAGCAATCTGCCCACCTCAGCCTCCCAGAGTGCTAGGATTACAGGCGTGAGCCACCGCACCTGGCCTAATTTTTTATTTTTTGTAGAGATGGGGGTCTCACTATGTTACCCAGGCTGGTCTTGAACTTTTGGCCCCAAGACCACCTTGGCCTCCCAAAGTGCTGGGACTACAGGTGTTAGTAGTCCCAGCTGCACCCACCATCATTATTTATTCTGATGCTCTAATTATCCTGGATTTGACCAGTGGAAGTCCCTTTATGCTAACTGTTGTGTCCTTTTGACATGCCCCCATTTTTATTTTATTTTTATAGCTAGGCCCCTATCATTTTTAAAATATCTTGTTACTCTCAAGCACAATATATTTGAGGCTCATCTTGTACCTTCCCTGTCTCAGCTCTGGAATCAGCTGTTTCTCTAAGAAATCTTTGTTCTTTTTTTTTATTATGCAGAAATCACCAAAGTTTTAGTGTTTAATAATTAATAGCACAACTGACCTAGGTCCGAGTTGTGAAGATACCATGTTCAAGAAACTACAGGATAAATCACTCTATAAACTAACTATATAGTATGTGATACAAATGCACATTACAACGTAAAACCTGTCTACACATAGTAGTTAGCTGCAGAAAGCCATTTACTCTTCTCTTGGCTTGGAAAAATGGTATTGCAGATTTCAGTGTAAGTTACTGGCAACCTTCAACTCTTCTGTGTGGCAGGTATCTTGTTTTTACCTTCCAGTTCCTCCACTCTAGCCTGTGTCAGGAAGTTGGTGATGTTTCTCTCCAGATCATCAATGCAACTACACATGTCATCAATTCTTCCAATGATCTGGTCAGACATAGTCTGAAATTGATCTTGTATCTGCTGCAGGAGTGTCTGCACCACTGAGGTGAGATCCTGCATGGTCTTGGGGTCAGTCTTGACCATCTCCCCGGTTCCCAGCTTGGCGGTGATGCCTCGAACCTGTCACCTACACTTCTGTTTGTCCGCACAGACGTCCCTGCTATCTCGCGATGAGACAGGCCACTTGCCCCTTTGCTCTTTTAGTGGAGAATGATGTTTAGAAAGCAAGATCTGGGCATTGGGTGTGTTCATTGCTGATGGTGTAATTGCTGTTCCTAGGCCCTCTCCTGGACAGAGCTAGGGTATATATATATATATATTATTATTATTCTATCTCTCTATATTATTATTATATCTATCTCTCTATCTATCTATCTATCTAAATCCATGAGTTCACACCAACACCTTTAACTCCAGTGCAACTCCACAAGGTTTTTTCTAGTTTTCTCCCATTCCATACATTTGACTCCCTTCTCAGAGAGAAAACTGGCTCCTATTGTCTTCTTTGATCAATTCTCCTAAATGTAGGTGCTGCACCCACCTGCCCCATCCTCCTTACCCTTCTCAGGGCTCTAATACCATGTGCTGGCCCACAACAGCCTCCTCCTACCTACAGGTAGCACCTGCCATGCCTGGCCCCACCTAATGGCATCTGAGATGAGTTTTTCAAGAAGGGATAGGAAAGGGAAGGATTTTTTTTAACTTTGAAAAAATTGTGATAAAATATACATAACATAAAATTTCCCATTTTAACCATTTTTCAGTGTACATTTCTGTGGCATTAAGTACATTCACATTGACCACCATCCATCTCCAGAATTGTTTCATTATCCCAAAGTGAAACTCTGCCTGTTAAACCATTAATGCTCTATTTCCCTCCTCCCCTAGTTCCTAGTAACTCCTGTTCTACTTTCTTTTTTTTTTTTTTAAATGGTATCACCAATGAGATATTCTTATCCAAATTTATTTTATTTTTAGAGACAGGGTCTCTCTCTGTTGCCCAGGCTAGAGTGCAGTGACGTCATCATAGCTCACATAGCTCACTGCAGCCTTGAACTCCTGGGCTCAAGTGATCCTCTTGCTTCAGCCTCCTGAGTAGCTGGGACTAAAGGCATGTGCCACCACTTCTGGCCCACTGTTCTACTTTCTGTCTCTTTGAATTTGACTATTCTAGGTCCCTCATATAATATTTGTCCTTTTGTGTCTGGCTTATTTCACTTAGCATAATGTCTTCAAGGTTTATCCATGTTGTGTCATATATCAAAATTTCATTCCTTTTAAAGGCTAATATATATGTGTGTATGAATCTTAAGGCAACAATATATACATATATGCATATTAAGGCCAACTGTATACACACACACACACACACACACAGACATTTTAGTTGTTTCTACCTTTTGGCTATTATGGGTAATGCTGCTATCAATATTGGTGTACAGATAACTTTTACATTTCTATTTTCAATTCCTTCACATGTATACCCAGAAGTAGAATTGCTAGATAATATGGTCATTCTATATTTAATCTTTTGAAGAACCACTATACTGTTTTCTACCATACTGCCACTATTTTACATTCCTACCAGCAATATACAGTTTTTCCACATGCTTGACATTTGTTATTTTGCATTATCGTTTAATGTGAAATTTTAAATAGAAATTTTAAGGTAAGTTACCAGTGGACAAGACATTCAGATTTTAAACAGATTTATTAAGCATGTGATTTCACTTACACACACCACACGCACATACACATTCCAGGGCACCAGCTGGGATCATGGTGAAGGGTAAACAGGTTCAGCTACTGAGATGGTTTGGATAAAAAGCCCCTAGAACATTCCATTTCTGCTTTTTTTTTTTCTTTTTTCTTTTTTTAACACTAAGTCAAAGAGGCTTGATCTGGTTTCTCTACTGACTTTATTAACTTCTTTTTGATAACCTGTTTTATCAAATATGTTTGATCTTGGGGTAAAGATCTGTTTGTTTGTTTGTTTCTTTCTTTTTTTGAGACAGAGTCTCACTATATCACCCAGGCTGGTCTCAAACTGTTGGGCTGAAGTGAGCCTCCTACCTCAGCCTCCAAGTAGCTGGGTTCACTGTGCCCAGCTAAGATCTGTTTTATATTGTGATGTTTTGATGAGCTGGAGATAACTAATCCAGGATACTTAATCTAGCTGGACTATGTTTGCAATTAATTCAGTATCTCGTTCCTGATAAGTTCATGTAAATTTACGGTCCTAGATACCTCATAAACCTTTTGCCTTTTTCTCATTTCACTGATTTCTGTTGCAAAACTCCTGGTTCCCAGTGAGTTTTCAGTGAGTTTTACTGTGGTTCTCTACCAGTAGCTCTGCATTCCTTATTGCACTACATTGAATTTATTTTATTCCTTTAAAATGTATCCATTCGTTTTGAATAAGATGCATATAAACATTGTATATATAATACAAAGTTGAAAAGTCAGAAAAAATAATTGTTATATTTCTGCTTTTTTTCATCCCATCTTAATTGTTTGTTATTGTTAGTTCCCTTTCTGTCTTTAAATATGCTTGTACATCTCTTTCTTGGTTAATCAGTTCTGAAAGGTGTCTTAAGATTTACAGCTATAAAAATGGAAGAAATCCACATACTCATACTACTCACTTTCTCTCCCTCTATACTGTATACTTTATTTTTTGGCTCCTTTTTAATCATTTCCAACTCAACTTGCTTTTTGCAATCTTATCTGCTGTTTTCAGCAAGGCTAGCTTCCTTTTGAGGTTCTGAAATGACCTTCACTTCTGAGATGGTTTATTTTTTTAATTACTTCTTTCCTGAGCTCTGCCAGTATCATCTCCTCTGGCTGTCTCAGCATCTTTGCTTTGAACTATTGCATCTTTACTTTGATCTCTTGTTTTAAAATTCATTAAGCCCTTTGTTCTTTGTTCATGACTATCATCTGTTTCATGTTAAAAAAATTTTTTTTGGTAAGTGTCTTTCATCTGCCATTTGTTTTTCCTGTCCCTGCCTCCCTCTGCTGCTTTTTTGGTAATATATTTGTATAGGTCTGGTGCTGTTTCTTTTTTTTTTTTTTTTTTTTTTTTATTTTGGCATATTATGGGGGTACAGATTTTAAGGTTTCAATAAATGCCCATTTCCCCCCTCCCCCCAAAGTTGCTGTTTCTTTTTTACTATAACTCTCCTTTAGATAAAGTGGGTTCTTCTTGGACCAGCTACTTTTTGGGGCTATGTGTAGAGAAGGAACTAGAGTAGAATTCCAAGGTGGCAGGAAGTCTCTTAGGTTCATAGCAAAGCTCCTTCTGACGGGTTTTGTGTGAGTTTGTGAGTTGGTTTAGCCTTTCTTCTTTCTACCAGTAGGAGCTTGGCAGCTTCAGGGCTACAAAAAATGGCAGGTATGTTTGTTTCCCTGGTCGACCCATTCCCCTTCTTCTCCTTGGTGCCAGTGAGACCAGGGAAGCTCCCAGAGCCAGCCCTTACACCACAGTCCCAATGTTCTACAGAAGGTGGTGTTGGTTCTGCCCTCAAAGTATACCATCTTTTTTGGAGAACTCCGAGTTCTGCCAGCTGTCCTCAAGACCTGCAGTCATAGCATTCTCTATCGGCATTAACCCTCCGGATCTTCTCTGCGCTCATCGTTGCTGAGCAGGCTGATGGGATGGCTTGCTACTCATCACAGGTAGCCACTCTCAGCACCTTTAGCCTGGGGCCACTGGAGTGCTCAGCCCAGAAATGCTGGGGAGTAAGGCCTTCAGGAGCAGCCCTCAAAGGACAGCTCTGAGGCATGCTTTCTGTGGTCTTACTAACCTCTCCAGCACACTGGAGCACTACTGGCCCACAAGGTTGACATGGTCATGTGTCTCTGTCAAAAAACAAAACAAAAACAACTGTTTTAATCTATGGAAGAAGATCAAATGATTTTCCTCTTTGGCTATGCTAACATAATGAATTATGTTTATAGATTCCCTATGAACCATATTTGCATTCCCTGGAATGATATATTTTTTTTTTATTTTGGCATATTATGGGGGTACAGATTTTTTTTTTTTTTTTTTTTTTGAGACAGAGTCTCACTTTGTTGTCCAGGCTAGAGTGAGTGCCGTGGCATCAGCCTAGCTCACAGCAACCTCAATCTCCTGGGCTCAAGCGATCCTCCTGCCTCAGCCTCCCGAGTAGCTGGGACTACAGGCATGCGCCACCATGCCCGGCTCATTTTTTATATATATATCAGTTGGCCAATTAATTTCTTTCTATTTATAGTAGAGACGGGGTCTCGCTCTTGCTCAGGCTGGTTTTGAACTCCTGACCTTGAGCAATCCGCCCGCCTCGGCCTCCCAAGAGCTAGGATTACAGGCGTGAGCCACAGCGCCCGGCCTGGGGGGGGTACAGATTTTAAGGTTTCAATAAATGCCCATTTCCTCCCCTGATATTATTATTTTTTTTTTTTTTTTTTTTTTTTTTTGAGACAGAGTCTTGCTTTCTTGCCTAGGCTAGAGTGAGTGCCGTGGCGTCAGCCTAGCTCACAGCAACCTCAAACTCCTGGGCTCAAGCGATCCTCCTGCCTCAGCCTCCCGAGTAGCTGGGACTACAGGCACAAGCCACCATGCCCGGCTGATTTTTATATATATATATATTAGTTGGCCAATTAATTTCTTTCTATTTTTATGGTAGAGACGGGGTCTCGCTCAGGCTGGTTTCGAACTCCTGACCTTGAGCTAGGATTACAGGCGTGAGCCACCGCGCCCGGCCTCTGATATTATTTTTTAATGTGGTATTGAATTCTATTGGCTTTAGATGCAATCTTGCTGTGTTGCCCAGGCTGGTCTCGAACTCCTGGCCTCAAGCAATCATCCCACCTTGGCCTCCCAAAGTGCTAGGATTACAGACTTGAGCCACCATACCTGGCCTTTGTTTATATTTTAACATTTTAAAAATAATATTCACAGACGACTGTAGCTTTGTCTTTTTATGCAACCTTTGTCAGGTTTTAGTATCAATGTTCTTACTTCACAAAAGAATTTGGTAGTTTTCTTTCTGTCTAGTCTCTGAACGGTTGTTGAAGAAACATTGGGATTATCTGAGTTGCCTGTGAACCCCTCAGGACCTAGTCCTTTTTTGTTTTTTGGTAGTAGTGGTGGTGAGAGAGTTCTTTTGCAATTTCTCTATTACTTCTATGAAAATTAGTCTATTTAAGTGGGTTCTGTTGGAGTCACTTTGGTAAATTATGTTTTCCTAGAAAGTTTTGTAGGGCAGAGGAATTTGTAGGACAGAGGAAGGGCAGAGGAATTTACTTGGGTGGGGCAATGAGCTAACCGCAAACCTTTGCTTCTGGTCATTGCTTGCTCGCTACACCGCTATAAGGGGAATTATGGGATGAGGTCATTGAAGCACGGGCAACTGGCCCATCAGGCAATAGAGGGCAACCAACCCGCCAATTATTTAAAAAGGCAATAGTGGGCAACCAATCATTTTAAAGGTCAACGCATGATCCATGCGTAGTCGGCTTGTGCACAGCTTGTGCACCATGGGGATAAAAGGCATGCCGTTGTTCCGGTCGGGGTCCTTGCCTGTGAGAGTGGCCACTGCGTTGGTGCTCTGGGGCTTGGACCCTGGCTAGCCAGAAAATAAACCTCCTCTTGTGTGATTGCATCCTCGATGTCTCTGCTTTTCTGTCCGGTGAGGCTGTGGAAGGTCGGTCCCTAACAGTTTTTCATAAAATCCCAGTATTTAAGTGTTGGTGACTAATTCAGATTCTTAAAAAAAAACAAAAAACTCTGTGAAAACATGTCAGCAGGCTAGGTATGGCCCACGGGCCACTATTTTGCAACCACTGATTATAGTCAAAGAATTTTAGACCCAAAAGAGGCCATATGGATTCTATACTGGGGTTGCAAACAGGTAACATACCTGTTAGGTGACTTAATTGTGTAGGGTGAAGATTCTGGTGAATTGGACAGCCCATTCCCCAACTAAAGACAAGTTAATTTTAAACGATATTTTAACCAAAATGCCATGCAGGTCAAATAAAGTAGCCTGCAAACTTAGTTGGCCCACCATGGCCCGTTGGTGGCTAGTTTATGGCCTTTGCCATCCCAGCCTCACTTCCTCATAACCATGCCTCCTGAGAATCTCATGGTTAGTCACATCTCACACTCCCTGGACAGGCCCTGCCCTCTCCTCTGTCTGTCATAGCTTTATTACAGCTTCCTCTGAGAATTTTACTTCTCCAGCATATTGTGAACTCCTCCTAAGTGGGGACCACGTCTTGTTCACCTTTGTATGCTTTGTGTGTAGTTGGAGCTCTGTACATCTTTGTTGCATAACTTTTACAGTCAGCAAGATGTAAAAGAAGCTTCTCATCTTGAAAATGAAGTGTTTGTGGAATTGAGTCTAACATTATTTATATATGATGAAAATGAGGCCAGGGTAGTTAAATGACTTACCAACATCTCATAGGAATAGGACTGGTGTCTTCTTTCTGGCATTCTGTCCTGTAACGGTTCCAGTTATAAAATCAGGAATTGGAATAAAAATGGAATTCTTGAAAGCTTGTTTGGAGGTTCTAGCAGGGGAGTACAGCTGCTCATATACCCTGACTGAAGAATGGTCCTCCTCTACTGGGGAACGTCGTCCTCTTTGACCAAGTGTGCAGCTTCTGGAGGGATGCACATGGAGCATCCCCATGGAGGAAGGGGACACCTACTTAGCCAGCCAGATCAGCTGAATCAACCCTGATAATCAATGGGGTGACAGATGTTACAGCTGCATCACCCTCACATCCAGAACTTTCTTAATTTATAGAACTGACTTTTATCTCTTCTTTTTTTGAGACAAGGTTTCACTCTATCACCCAGGCTGGAATGCAGTGGCATGATAATAGCTCACTGTATGCTTGAACTCTTGGGTTCAAGTGATCTTCCTGCCTCAGCCTCCCAAGTAACTGGAACTACAGGCATGCGCCACCATGCCCAGCTAATTTTTTTGAGACAGAGTCTTGCTTTGTTGTCCAGACTAGAGTGAGTGCCATAGCGTCAGCCTAGCTCACAGCAACCTCAAACTCCTGGGCTCAAGCGATCCTCCTGCCTCAGCCTCCCGAGTAGCTGGGACTACAGGCATGCGCCACCATGCCTGGCTAATTTTTTCTATATATATTAGTTGTCCAATTAGTTTCTTTCTATTTATAGTAGAGAGGGGATCTCGCTCTTGCTCAGGCTGATTTCGAACTCCTGACCTCTAGCTATCCGCCCGCCTTGGCCTCCCAGAGTGCTAGGATTACAGGCGTGAGCCACTGTGCACGGCCTAATTTTTTTTTTTTTTTTTTTTTTAGTAGAGACAGGGTCTTACCATTGTTGGTCTCAACTCCTGGCCTCAAGTGATCCTCCTGTCTTGGCCTCCCAAAGTGCTAGGATTATGGGCATGAACCAGCATGCCTGGCCTAGAACTGACTCTGCCTCCTTGCAGACAACTTAATTTAGATGTCTTCAGGTAAATTGAGTTCCAACCTAGTGATTTTGAGTGGATGTAATTTGAGGTTTAGTGACTCATCTTGGGCCACTTCAAAGCTTTCCAAACTTTCTGCCTCCTCCTCCCTAATGCCTATCCAATTGCCAGAGAAAGTGTACAACCACAGCTGGCAGGAGGTGAGGGTCAACAGTGTCTACTCTTGGGGTCCCATCAGTTCCTACTTACTGGCATCCTCTAATGCCACTCATTAGTCTGGATACTTTGTCACTCTTGTCTCCTCAGGTAACTCAGGAGACCAGTGGGACACCCTTCCTGCCCGTAGCCCCTCCTACCATCTCTCTTGCCTTCTCCAGGCCCAGTAGTTTCTCTCAGAGGCCCTCCTAAACCTTTGTGGAGGATCCTCTTGTATTTCCTTCCTCAAGACTAGGTCTGTGGTGAGATAGGCAAAAACTCTATACTGTGTCTCTCTTTTTCTAAAACTTTCTCTTCCTCTGTCTCTCCCTGAGTTCTTTCATCTTTTCTCTGGGTAGGTGGGAGAAAACCAGTTCTGTCCTTTCTCACCTCTGTGTGTGATTGCTGTCTTACCCCAGGAGTGGTGGTCTTTGTTTTTCTCCCCAGCTGTTCACTGTCCAGCTGTCTTCACTGCGTTCAGGGCCTTTCTGTTTATCAGTTGGGGGAGGGTTGGCGGATACATGCAACTAAATAGGAATGGCGTATCAAGGGGCACTGGAAATCGCAGTTTTCTATTGGGGATCCTGGTTCAAAAGCAAATAGAGATCCTCAGTTGTCATCTTTAATCTAGTAGGAAAAAAGTGCTTTAGACCCTAGAGTCTTCTCTACTTTTGGAAGGACCTCAGAATCATTAGAGTTCCAGTTTCCAAGTTTCTTTCAACATTTGACACATTTGGTTGATGTCTTCTGATTTGCTGGGTTTTCCTAATCGCCCTGAGTTGATAAGATTTATGGACAGTGCCAGGCCCCCACATCTAGGGTCTCCAAGTTTGAAGCCTCAGAATGGCCCATAGGCCAAAGTGTTGGATGTCCCTACATCCAACCAAGAAGCCTCTGACTGCCTCTGGCAGTCCTTTAGCTACTTGGAGCCCCGGTCTGCTCACGTGTGGAGTTGGGGATAGGGTCCCTCACCTTGTGGTGGTTGTGAGGACTGACTGAGGTAATGCCTGTGAGAGCTCAATAAGTGTTAGGCTGCCAGATTCCAATTTCTTCCTGCTGACCCCTCCTCCCTCCGGAATCTTTCACTGTGACATAAGTAGATTCTGAGAATGATTTTCTCAGGACAAGGCTCCCAGCAGCTGTGGTAGAGTTGAGGTGCAGAGGGGAGCTCTCTGCTTGCCTTGCCGCTGAGGGAAGCTCTTTGTTTGTAGCTCTTTGTTGCTGGATTCTCGGGGAGAGATTTGCAGTCCTCCCCTTGACAGGCAAATTGGCTAGTTGTGCGATTTTCCAGATCAGGAGCCATGAGGAAATATATAACATCTTACAGCTGGCAGCGCCTGAGGAAAGAACTGGTGAGGACAGGCAAGGCCCTGGGAGGGAAGAGCCGAGTGTGGGACAGACAGGCATTTTGAGGAAGGAAGAGGCAGGTGGAGGAGGGGCCTTGGAGGAATGGGGGCCACACTTTGCCTTTTGGAGACACAGCATGGCATGGAGGAAGGAGCCCCAGACCAGGCTGCAGGAGGACTGAATTCTGACTTCTGCCCTGTAGCTGGGTGAAGCTTTCTACCCCCTTGGCCCTGGGCAAGCCACAGGCCACACTCTGAGCCCCTGAATCCTGTTCTGTGCCCACACCTCCTGCTATTATGAGATCCAGAGACAACAAGGCAGGGCTGCAAGGTAGAGTAATAGGTGAAGTTTATGGACTTGGGAGCCAGACTGCCTGGGTTTAAATCCCAATCACCTATTAGTAATGTAACCCTAGGCAGGTTACTTGGTTTGCTGTGCCTTTGTTTTCTCTTCTGTAAGTGATGGTGATAGTACCTGCATGAATTTATTATTGAGGATTAAATGAGCTAATACATATTAGAATAGCATTTACAGTTGTACCTGATAATAGTAAATTGTACTCAATATGTATTAATTTTATTAAAGTACCTTTCTCTATGTTTCATGTAGAGATCTAGTTTTTAAAGAAATCTTATAGAATATTACAGGTACAGGTAAAGCTTGTTCCCATCCCATGCCGTTTTATTTTTCTTTACTGGTAACTACTTTCCTGAGGTTGGTGTTGCCCTTCCTATTTACATCTTTATATATTATTGCTTGTATATATGTCCATAAACGACATGTAGTATGTGGCCCACTTTTTACAAATGACACCATAAATGGTATCAGACTTCACTTTTTCCACTCAGAATTGTTTCACCTTTATCCACATTGACACACACAGATCTAGTGTGCTATGTTAAATCCTGTGACTGTACCATAATGTATTGATCCCTTCCCCTCCTGATGGACATTTAACTGCTCTCAGCCATTCACTGTTACAGACAGTGCTGCCATGATCAGTCCCATGGCTGTCTCCTTGTGTACATATGTGTGTTTCTCTAAAGAGGTTACATAAAGTGTGTATAATTCCTCGATTGTAAACAACATCCTCAACTTTATAAATAATGTTGCCAAATTGCTCTACAACATGATTTTATTATCTTTCCCAGTTCCCCAATGTTAAGTGTAAAATAGCATCTTATTGTTACTGTGATTTACATTTCTATTATTTCTAGTGATGTTAAGAATCTTTTCATAATTTATAGGTGACTTGAGTTTGCCCTTTGAATTACATGTTCATATCCTTTGCTCATTTTGTTATTGTATTATTTGTATTTTTCTTTCGATTTGTAGGATTTTTTTTTTTTTTTTTTGAGACAGAGGTCTCGCTTAGTTGCCCAGGCTAGAGTGAGTGCTGTGGCATCAGCCTGGCTCACAGCAACCTCAAACTCCTGGGCCCAAGCGATCCTCCTGCCTCAGCCTCCCAAGTAGCTGGGACTACAGGCATTCGCCACCATGCCCGGCTCATTTTTTTGTATATAATATCAGTTGGCCAATTAATTTCTTTCTGTTTATAGTAGAGACGGGGTCTTGCTCTTGCTCAGGCTGGTTTCGAACTCCTGACCTCAAGCAATCCGCCTGCCTCAGCCTCCCAGAGTGTTAGTATTACAGGGGTGAGCCACCGGGCCCGGCTAGGATTTTGTTTTTCAGACCAGGTATATCCAATGTGTTTTGTTTTTTGTTGTTGTTGTTGTTGTTTTTATTTGTAGGATTTTTAAAAACAAATTCTGGATAGTAAACCTTTGTCATTTATATGCATGGAAAATATATTCTTCCAGGCTACAGTTTTTCTTTTCATTTTGTTTATGATGTACTTAATAACAGAAGTTAGTAAGCAGACATCTTATTCAGTTTTTACATTTTTTTATTATGGAAATTTTCAAACATAGACGTTGAAATATATATGTATATATAATAATCACTCATTAGATCTAACATTCAACATTTTGCTATATTGCCATTATGTATTTATGTGTGTGTGTGTGTGTTTGCTATATCATTTGAAAGTAAATTGCCAGGCTGGACATGGTGGCTCATGCCTGTAATCTTAACACTCTGGGATTAAATGGGTTAATTAATGGGAGGATCGCTTGAGTCAAGAGTTCGAGACCAGCCTCAGCAAGAGCGAGACCCCCGTCTCTACTAAAAATAGAAAGAAATTAATTGGAAAACTAAAAATATATAGAAAAAAATTAGCTGGGCGTGGTGGCTCATGCCTGTAGTCCTAGTTACTTGGGAGGCTGAGGCAGAAGGATTGCTTGAGCCCCGGAGTTTGAGGTTGCTGTGAGCTAGGCTGATGCCATGGCACTCTAGCCCTGGTAACAGAGTGAGACTCTGCCTCAAAAAAAAAAAAAAGTAAAAAGTAAATTTTCTACTTTATGACATTTCTTTCTTAAAAATAAGAGCATTCTCCCACATAATCACAATGCCACTATAATACTAAGAAAATTAACACTAATTCCCTAATATCATCTGACATGCAATCATATTTAATTTCCCTTGTGTAGCTTGTTATCACGAAGCAGGATCCAATCGAGGTTCATACTTTGAGTTTGTTTGTATGTCTCTTGACTCTTAATCTAGAACAGCTCCCATACCTTGTTTTTCTCCTTGTGAAATTGACTGAAGAAAGCCAGTTAGTTGACTCACAGATGGTTTTACATTCTGGATTCTCTCTGGCCTCTGTATTCACTTGGCTAGTAGCCTGTGGCTGCCCTTACTCCTAAATTTATATTGGAGTCAAGAGGATGCTTTGTTCTCAGTCCCAATTCCAAATTCCCAGGGAAAAGATAGGATGGCTCACCTTGGATTAGGGGTTATATTATTTAATAGTTTTCTATTGCTGCCATAACAAATAATCACAATTTAGTGGTTTACAGCAAAACAAATGTATTATCTTACAGTACTATAGACTGGAAGTCTGCCACAGGTGTCTTTGGGGTTTCCAGGGTTTCCAGCAGAGTTGCGTTCCCTTTTCGAGGTTCTAGAGAAGAATCCATTTGTTTTGCCTTTTCTGCTTCTAAAGTCCTACTCAGATTCCTTGACTTGTGGCTCCCCCTTCCTTCACCTTCAAAGCCAGCAATGCTGCATCTTTCTGACCATTTTTCCCTCAGATCCCTCTGATCCCCAAATTCAGGCTCTTGGTACCACCCCCACTCTGCCTGCAGTCACTTGTGCCCTTTATATTCTGCGTCAAAGTGAAGGACTTGGACATTGAATGTAGTGCTGTGGGGGTGAATGTTTAACATCTGGTTCCTGGGAAAAGGGGATGCCCTGATTTGTAGTAGCTGCCAATTTCTGTGGCATAAATTCTTCCACCATGGCCAGTTTCAAGCTAGCAGCATAATTTCAACAGGCCTGCAAACTTTCTGAAAATGTAGCTATCATTCCAACACACCACTGCATTTAATCCTGTTAAATTTCACCTTGTCCAGCGCCATCCAGCCCAGTGTTGACTGTTGAGAACAGATGGTTTCCACTGATCTTGTTTGCTTTGTTTCCACAGGGGCTGTACCGGCTCATCATGGACATCATAGTGATGATCCGAGTGTGTAAAATGTTCCGCGAAGGCCTTAGGGGATTCCGGGAGTTTCAAATCATTGCGTCTTCTCAGAGAAAGCATCCTATCTTCTCTGTCTGGGATGTAAGCTGCTGGGTTCAGCATGATTATGAGGGCTTACGGGGCTTCGATAAAATAGCATGCCACCTCCCCGTTCAAGTTCAGAACCAAATGAGAGAGAAAGCAAAGGGTAAAGCACATGGGAGACCCAACTGTCACCTTTATTAATGACCAGATTTGTATTGGAGAAGGGTGACTTACCGTAAAGCAAGAGGGTTACCTAATACTGAACCTCAGAATTAGACAGCCTTCCTTACAGGCCTCGTCTCAGGTGGTGCTGGACCAAGGCAGGCTCCAGTGCAACAGCAGGGCCTGCTGCCCTAAACTCACAGCCGAGCAAAGCAGAGGAGAACGTGGGCTCAGAGGGACGACCATGCCTAGTTTCTCCTTCTAAATCCACCCAGGAGTTTAAGTCACTCCTCAGTGTGGAAGGAGAGAGGCAATAGTGTTCTGCTAACATGTGGAAGGAAACACTGGGAGTGGGGAAGAAGCATTCTCCATTCCAACATGATCAAAAGAGCCAGAGGAATCCAGGAGTCACAGTGGAGTCAGGGTTTTCCAAAGGCCCCCACACTCTATTAGCATCTCTCCTTCTTTCCTATCCTCCCACTTAAATGAAGGGAACATGTTCAGGACCCTGATCACCATGGGGACCATGCTTTCTAGATTTCCTAGAAGGTCCCAGTGTAAAATGTCTTTATCGTAGTAGTAGATGATGAGCCCCTTTTCAGCTCAGAAAAATTGGTCCCTATTCTGTTAACTCATTCTGGTTTCCCAAAGGTATCCTCCTTACTACTCCTTATATTAACCAGGACTTCCGAATTTTCCCAGCTAATACCTAGACAAACCCTGCCCAAACCTGTTGGGTCAAGAGTGACTAGATCCAGAGTGACTAGATCAATTTACTCCAAGAAATTTCCCAAAGTGGTTTCTGAAGGATAGTGGCCAAAGACAGGTCTGGGGCTGGTGATGGGGGAAAGGAAGGCAGCCTTAGATTGGTTTCTAAGGGGCCGGCAGGCAGTATAACTAGTGCATGTGGCTGAGATTAAGATAGAGCACAGGGGGTAGGGGCCTATGGGCCAGCTCCAGAGAAAGGACATGCCCCATACAAAGACATTTGAATCTATAGACTAGACTGTATTTTAAGACACTGTGCTGGCCACACTGAACACAGCTGCAGTCCTGTGGTTGGGCTGAAATGAAAAGGGATAGACTAGAAGAATTGCAACCTGAGAGACTCAGGTTAGCTCTCAGGAAGGACGTTCTCTCAGGATGGCAGGCCATGGTGAAGCCACCGGTTCTGGAGATCAAGAGGCTTTGGTTAGCAAAAGACCTGGGCTGAGGCATGGGGCACTTGGAAGCTGAAGACCCAGAGTCAGGCTTCTTGTCAGGGGACTGTGAAGCGAAACTTGCCCACACTGGCCAGCCAGAGTGGCCTTGAGCAGAGCCTCATGAGGGCAGGCCACAGGGGTCACGTGGTTGCCAGGTGGAGAGCTGGGGTTGGGGCGTGGGTTCAGGTGTAGAGAGCCATCGTCTGGCTTTCAGCTCAGTATGTGCATCTGGACATTCTGAGCACCACTTGTTTCCTTCAGTGGCCTCACCGAGAAGCACCCCACGGACACACAAATGGTAAAAAAGGGGAAGGAGAGGGATCTGAGTGGGCTTCAGGGACAACAGGAAGTTTGCTTAGAGAGGAGATTGGGGGCCCTGGTTTGGTCTAGGGTGGTGGTCAGGGCCTTGGGTGTCCCCTTCCTTCTCCCTTGGCTCTTCCTACATACTCTCTGCTCTCTACATCCTCTCTTCCTCTGTCAGAAGATAGAGTTGGATTAGTTCATCCTAAGGCCACTGACACCTTCTCCTCCTGGTACACTCTAGACGTGGACTTGGGTTCACCCAAAGCCTTGGGTTTGGCTCCCAGCAGGACCATTTACTTGCTGTGTGATCCTTGGACACCTCAAGTCCAAAATGGGGCTTAATAAAACCCACTTTGTTCTGATTATTAAATGGACTAAGTTACAGAAGATGCACCATGCTTGGCTCATTAAAGGCACTTAACAAAGGTTGGCTTCATTTGTTTTTTTCTTTTCTTTCTTATCTCTCCTTCCACCCCCATACTTTGTTTGTTTGCTTCTTTTCTGTTCTCTCTCCATCCTTCTTTTCTGTCTTCTCTTTATCCTCCTTTCCCTCTCCCCACCCCTTCACAATAATTTGTTGTCAATGCTGGACCCAAATCTGGTGTGGAATTGGGGATTTTAAGCAAAAGTGGCATGCAAGGGCTGCTTCTAAGAGGTTTTCTGTGGCTTCCTGCCTCCCATGGTGGTCCAGGTACACAAAAGGGCTTCAGATGCAAAGTTCTGGGCAGTCTTGCTGAGTTGCCCTCCTCTCCCTGCCTCCTTTATTTCAGGTGAAGAAGCAAAGCCGAATCACATTTGATACCATGGACTTCATTGCAAAGGAGGTATGCATAGCTCTAACCTTGCCATGGGGGCATTTTCCTTCTGTGCCATGGCCTGGAAGAACCACTGGGCTGGGCATCAGGAGAGCTGGTTTCAGCCCAGGCTCTGCTACCAACACAGTGTGTTACCCTGAGCCTGCCACTTAGTTTCCTCATCTATAAATTAGCAGATCTCAGTGATCCCTTCCTGCCCTGTTGTTCCAACACTGTGAGCACCCAGGCACCAGTTGTCACTGTTGAGCTGAGCAGAACCAACAGCAGAGAGTTCCTAGGTTTGGACTCATGGGAAAATAGCAGACAACAAAGCAGAGGATGCGAGAACCCCAGACAGAGGGGAAAGAAGCCAGGTGGTAAGGAAAGCCCTGGTCTGTGCGTGAGTTCTGGTTCTGACCTGAATTGTCTGAAAGATGGTGGGCACACCAGTCACACCTGGGTGTCAGATGCCCTTAGAGTCTCCCCAGGCTGATGGGGGAATGAATGCTTTTATATCTGGGCGAGGCTTTGGACTGTGTGACTTGCTCTCTGAATTTCAGGCATCGTTGTTGTCTTCCCAGCTTTTCCCTACCATGTCCTGGATATTAAATTAAAATTTTAAATCCACTTTAAAATTTAAAAGAGCCTACCTATTTATAGGGAAGATCTGAGGTTCCCACTAGAGCGAACCTGAGTTGACCCTGGCCTGGAGGAGCCATGTTGGTTTTTCTCCCAGGGAAACAGGGAGAACAGAACTTTATATCTGGTACTGGGACCACCTGTGCCCATCCCCCCCTCCCTTCGCACCAAGGTATGGCTTCTATTGCCTGCCTCTCCTGGGCATGGTCTAATTGCTCCTGCCCCCTCGTGTAGGAAGTATAATCACTTAAGTCATCCAAATTCTGTGTTTCTTTAGCCTTCCAGACTGGCCAGTGTCTGACACTGGGCATTGAAGGTTACCCAAGCTTTATCCTTAACACAGGAGAAACTAGGGGCCCATCTGAGAGCCACAGAACTCTAGCTATAAGGGCAATTCTGTGCATAGCACCAGAGGGAGAGAGGAGGGCACCGAGGGAGAGTTTGTTATAGGCAAGGCCTATAGGTGGCCCTTGAATGAGACGCGTATGTGAGACGCGTATGATTCTGTTTCCAACGCAGAGAAGAGTAGAAACGCAGTTTTGAAACCTGCCCTTCCAGTGACTGCTAATGGGTATGGGATTTCTTTAGGGTGATGAAAAATTTCTAAAATTGATTGCAGTTGGGTGTAGTGGCCCACAGCTGTAATCTCAGCACTTTGGTAGGCTAAGGTTGGAGGATCACTTGATGCTAGGAGTTCAAGGTTACATTGAGCTATGATTGTACCACTGCACTCCAGCTTGAGCCACAGAGTGAGACCCCATTTCTAAAAGACGAAAAATTAAAAAGAAAAATCAAATCAATTTTGGTGATGATTGTTCAACTCTGTGAATACACTAGACACCACTGAATTGTATACTTTAAATGGTGAATCATATGGTATATGAATTATATCTCAATAAAACTGATATATAATATACTCATATTTTTATACATATTTATGCTGCCTCTCAGCGCAGCACTTGGATTCTGACAGGAAACTGAGCCTCACTATAGTCCATATTGGGCCTCTAATAACACTAAACTTCTCAAAGAGAACCCTCAGAATTAGAGAGGCTTAGAATCATAGATTCATTTATTGAATGAATCATAGATTTTTTACTAATGAATCATAGATTCATTAGATGGCTATATGAGGATGGTTTTATATCTGGGTTGTCCATTCTGTTCCACTGGTCAATGTCCCTGTTCTTGTGTGCCAGTCCCAAGCTGCTTTAATTACTATATCCTTGTAGTATAGTTTGAAGTCTGGTAAATTGATACCTCCCATTTTGTTTTTTGTTTTTTGAGACAGAGTCTCACCTTGTTGCCCAGGCTAGAGTGTCGTGACATCAGCCTAGCTCACAGCAACCTCAATCTCCTGGGCTCAAGTGATCCTACTGCCTCAGCCTCTCGAGTAGCTGGGACTATAGGCATGTGCCACCATGCTCGGCTAATTTTTTGTATATATATATTTTAGTTGGCCAATTAATTTCTTTCTATTTATAGTAGAGACTAGATCTCAGTCAGGCTGGTTTCCAACTCCTGACCTCGAGCAATCTGCCCACCTCAGCCTCCCAGAGTGCTAAGATTACAGGCATGAGCCACCACACCCGGCCTCCCATTTTGCTTTTATTGCCTAGGATTGCTTTTGATATATGGAGTTTTCTCTGGTTCGATGTGGAGTGTAAAATTATTTTTTCTATATCTGTGGGAAATGATGATGTTATTTTAATAGGGATTGCATTGTAGATCACTTTGGGTAGTATAGACATTTTAACAATATTGATTCTGCTGACCCATGAGCATGATATGGTCTTCCACCTGTTTACATCCTCTGCTATTTCCTTCTTCAGTGTTTCATAGTTCTCCCTGTAGAGGTCTTTTACCTCCTTAATACTTAATTTTTTAAGAGTAGTTTTAGTTCTGCAGCAAAATTGATAGGAAGGTACAGAAATTTCCCAAATGTCCCCTGTCCCCACACATGCACAGCTTCCCTAATTTTCAACATCCCCTGCCTGAATGGTCCATTTGTTTCAATTGATGAACCTATAGCCCATGTATTTCTTTTTCTTCTTCTTTTTTTTTTTTGTTTGAGGCAGATTCTTGCTCTTTCCCCCCAGGTAGAGTGCAGTGGCATCATCATAGCTCACTGCTACCTCACACTCCTGGGTTCTACTAATCCTCCCACCCCAGCCTCCTAAGTGGCTGGGACTACAAGTACGTGCTACCACACCCAGATAGATGGAAAGCTAGGGATAGACAGAAAGCTTGAGAATAGAGAAGGAAGGGGAGAGGTAGGAGATGGGGTTGGAGGGAAGCCATTGGAGGTGTTAATGATTCACAGTCCCACTTCTCCAGCAGGTGGGAGTAGTAGATCTGCCCATGTGCTGGTCCATAAATCCTGGTTCACTAGGGAAGAAAAGGTTTAGCTAATAGTCTCTGGAAGGTTCTTTTTGCTCCTCAGTCTCCTGTAGCATGCCGAGATCTAGGCTAAGACAAGCAGGAGGTCTCCCCTAACCACAGTGTGCATGTGCTGAGGGGACCCTGCAGGGCCCCTGCAGCCCAGAGTGGAAGGGTTTGGGGCCTTAGCATGTGGCAGATCTACTTATAATCCTGCCTGAAGTTCTCCATGTGTCAAATGGGAATGATGGTTCTTGGGCCAGTGAAGAGTCAGATCTGGATGCCTGGCACACAATAAGCACTCATCACATGTCAGCCACTCTTGTGTAGGGGACAGGAAAGAGTACAAGTGGTGAGTGGCCAACCGGCCCATGGGGGAACTGCTGGATCCTCTGTGTCACTCTGGCCTTCTCTCCCCAGGGTCACTTCCCTCCAAGAGCTATAAAAATCATGGAGAAGAAGCCTTCTTGGAGGACAGAGCAGGAGATCCAGGCCCTCCGTAATGTCTTGCAGGATCTAGACGGCTACCGGAACTACGCAGAGCCAATGCAGCTGCTCCTGGCCAAAGTCATGCGCTTTGAACGGTCAGTGGGGGGCACAGTCCTTGTCCCCTGGGCTAGGGCTGGGCTGGGCAGGAAGAGCCCAGCTGAGAAGGCCTAGGGCAGGTCCTACTCCTCTGTAGCATATTGGTCTTGGAGAATCTTCTGTTGGTTCACCTTAGAGCTCACCTTATGTTGCAGTGCTGTTTATCTCACTCACTCATTTAGAGTCTTCATAGAATTATGGAGGAGGAGGATCTGGTGGGAACCTCAGAAAGGATCTGGTCCAATTCCTTCATTTTCCAGGTGAGGAAACTGAGGCTCAGAGAAGTGAAGTGGCTCCATCTAAATCACCCAGATAATAAGAAGCAAAGCTGAGATTCAAATCCAGGCTGTAAAAGCCAGAATGGATCTCAGATGATTGTAATATATCTAGGTAGGTACTAGAACAGGGTCTGTGAACTTGCATGAGGAAAAAAAAAATCTATTTTCATTAATCTCTAGCTGAAATTGACCATTTCCTTTAATTGTACATGTATGATTGTAAAAGGAAATTGGCCATTTCCTTCAATCATGAATGTGGGCAACAAAGCACTGGAATATAAGCCATCCCTGTGACTTTTTCACTGGAAGAAATCACAGATATTTTCAATTCATATTCAAGTTGTTAAGGATTTCTCAAAAAACAATTTATGTTCTTCACATCTTCAAAATTATTATAGTTACCATATTAGATCTGCTCAGATCTTGTTATTTGGTGCCTTAATAAAGATGTACCTATATTGTCATATCACAAATTTGGGTTTTTTTAAAAACACTTGTTAATTGTAATTCTGCTGGATTTTATTTTATACATTTAAAACGTTCTGTGAAGCCTTCACCAGACTGTCAAAGGGTCCATGACATGAGAAGAAGTACCATGTATTAATAAATACCTTATACTAGGAAGGTCCAAGTCCATGTGGAAATATCACCACCTCCAGGCCATCTCCATGGCCTCAGAGGGGCAGCCTAGCAGAATATTTGAGGTAAGGCCACAATAGGTTTGTGCCCCAATATATTCCTTCATGGAGGTCACAGTCTGAGACATAACACAACTATTCATAAATACAGGCTGAGGCCCTTAATGACCAGCACAGGATACTCCCAGGGTAAGGAGATTACCTTCCAGCTGGCTTGGTCAAGAGTTTCACAGAAAAGTTTGTCTTTAAACAGGTAGATTTGACAGGCGGGGTGTAGACAAGGACATTCCAGGCAGAGGGAACCATTGGCTTTGTTCTAGCCCAGTGAAGAATAGAGCAAGTCACCACTGCCTGTAAAGTAAGATTCCATGCCAGGCAGAGTGGTGTCATAGAAAGAAAAAGAATCATGGAGCTAGATGCTCTGAAATTCAGTGCCATGTCTGCCCCAGTGTGACCTCAGGCAAGCTACTTAACCTCTCTGAGCCTCAGTACCCTCATCAGTGAAATAAAGGTAATAATATGGATTTTGTGGGCTTTACAAAGGAAAATAACAAGATTTGGGGGAAGATAAAGTGAAGCGATCATTGGTAAAGCCGTCTGCTAGCTGTTGATTATTTCTGGGACTGGGAATTAGCAGCTTAGATAGGATTCTTTCAGCTGCAAGCATCAGACAGATCAACCCAGAGTAATACATCAGTGACTCATGTATCTGAAAAGTCCTGGGAAAACAGTTCAGTTTCAGGCTTGGCTGGAATTCAGGGGCTCAGTGTCCCCAGGACCCAGTGCCTATCTGTCTATCTCTGTCTCTTCGTACTTGGTTCCCATAAGCCTTCTCCTCCATCAGACACTCCCCTCATGGTGGCAAGATGGCTGCCACTGTCAAAGCTCCAAATCCTATCTTTTCAGTTCTATTCCAACGGGACAGAGAGAAAAGCTCTTTTCAGTCATTCGAGTGAGAGCTTTGGGATTAGTTCTTTCTGAACCAGATTGACTTTGCTTGCTCATCACTGGGGTCAGTGGTACTTTGATTGAGAGTTGAGAAAAGATAGTTCCCCAGAAACAAAATCAGGGTACAGTTGGCAGAAAAATGTGACCAGGTACTTGACAGCAAAAGCAACAGATGTCTGCTCTAAGAGATTTGGGTTCTAGTGCTGACTTGATTATGGCTTACCATGACCTTTAGCAAGCTGTGGGCTCCCTGGGCCCACTCTCCTCTTTCCAAAAATGTTGGTTGAGCTTGATGGTTTCTGACGGTCTTTCTGGCTCTAGCTCTAGAAGTCTACATTTGAATGAAGCCTGTGCTTCCTCTTCTTCAGAATCTCATTTGCTAGCTGAATTTTCTTTCCATCTCCCATCTATTCATTGTCATTTGGGGCGTCTCCTCTTTCCTATGTTGATAAAGATCAGCCTCTGGTTTAGACCTGATCAAGCCCCCAGCCAGAGACGATCCTGAGGCTACTGACTTCAGCCTAACGCCATTCTATGTGTGCCCTCTGATCCCTCCCCTCAGTTTGCACGGGATTATGAGGCTGGTGGGAGCTCGGAATAGGAGATGCTGCTGTTGGCTGGGTTAGGGAAGGCTTCCTGGAGGAAGTAGGATCTGAGTTCCTGAACGAATCCGAGACAGTGGAGAAGAGAGGGAAGGCCATTCCAGGCAGGGGGAGCAACATGGACAGCTTGCTGGAATAAAGGGAGTGCCATCTGCCCTGAGAAGAGTGTTGGTGCTCCTGCTGCTGGTCAAGCCAGTGAGTCACAAACAAATAGAAGGTGGCAGTGTGGTGGCAGAAGAGGAACAGGAAGACCTGCCAAGGGCAAGTGGCATGAGCTCAGAGTTGGGGGAAATGACAGACATAGCCCTGCCATCAGGGCACTTCTATTAATACCACGGTCACTCATCAGACCTGGCAGAGACTAAAGGGCAGATTTTTGGGCTCCCCATCATCTTCTGGGAAAAATCCAAACTCAGCCCAGCTTTGGAGGGTTTGGGCCAGTTGAATTTCTCTGACACCACTCCCCTGACTTCTCCTATCCCATTTCCTCTCCCGTGAAGTGCACTGTCTGCCCTTGAATGTGCCATGCTTTAGGCTACCTCTGTGCCTTTGGCCACGGTGGTCTCTCCGCCTTGGACACTTGTCCATCTCTTTTTCCACCTGCATAACTCACTTCGCACACCATGCTAGAGCCTTTGATCTTCTTAAGCTGGATTAAATGTTCCTTCTCTGTGCTTCTGAATTAGCCTGTGTTTAACCCTCTTAAAGCATTTTTTAACCTCATTTACCTCTTGTACATGACCATAATTTTGTAAACAAAATTGTGCCATTCACTGTGCCTAAGAGACACAGTTGCCATTTATTTAACTTGCGGACTGAATGAAGGAAATGAATGGAAATTGAAAGAAGTGAGATTTGGCCTTGTAAATGAAATACAGAAACTTCCCTCTGAGTCTAAGGACAAAATCCCAGTTTGTTCAGGGCCTGGGCACCTCTACCCTAAGAGTGCCCAGTTGGGTAGTGAACTACTGAGGATCATAATAAGGCCATTTATCTGTCTCTTTCTGGGCATGCTCATCTTCATTTTATAGAGAAGAGGAACTGAGGCTCGAAGAGGGGCTATGAGTTGCCCAGTGTCACACAACTAAGGGCAAAGCCAGTATTTGGATCCTGGTCTGACATTAAAGCCAGTACTCCTAATCACTCAGCTACTCCATTAACCCATCCATTGCTTTCAGCATTTGTTCACTCATTTAGTCAACTACTGTTCACTGAGCATCTACTATGAGCTTAAGCACATATGACAGTGCACCAGGCCAGCGAAGACTCTGCTCTCAGGAAGCTGCAGGCTAACCAAGGCAGGCAACTGGAGAGGTGTTAGTGGAGGGATCCAGTCTGATAGGCAGGACCTGGGCTGTTCTGAAGGTCCTTCTAGCCCAAGGCTGTGCTTTCACAGCCGAGAGCAAAGAGCATACCCAGTCCAGAGTTTTTCCAGCATGGACTGGTCTCCATGTTGCTACCAGCTCAGCTGGCCGTGGTCTTTCCCCAGGTTTGGTCGCAGGCGTGTGCTCATCAAGAAGGGGCAGAGGGGCAACAGCCTTTATTTCATCTATCTGGGCTCAGTTGCAGTGACCATGGATGATGATGGCAGCAGTGCCTTCCTGGATCCCTATCCGATATTGCTGTGCAAGGGTAGCTATTTTGGGGTAAGCCTGGGGAAGGGCCTGGGTCCCTGGGGTGGGGGTGGGAAGATGACAGGACTCCTGCTAGAACTTCTGGCCAGGCCCAGTCCTGCCTCCTATTCTGCAAGTCAACACCCTGTGTGGGCCCCAGAACCCTCACCTGTCAAATGCTGATGGAGTTGGACAGGGTGATGTCCAAGTTTGACCTCTTCACCTGTGGTCTTTAAGGAGTATTGTTCTCTATAGGGAGACTTCTCCAGCTTTCTCCCCTCCGGCCTATTCAGGCCTTATTGCCTCTTTTCCCACAAGCAGCAGATTAAGAGGGAGGAGGTGAGCCCCCCGTGGGAGAATGGCAGGAGTCTAGAGGGGCCAGGGAACCTGCAGTCTGGGGAGGAGAGATTTCAAGGGGAAACAGAAACAGGGAAGATATGTGTAAGGCTGTGAACAGGAGTGGGAGGTAGCCTCACGCTTGCCCTTGTCCGATCCACCCAACAGGAAATGGGCCTTAAGAATGCTTCAATAAGGAGTACCACCGTGGTCTGTATGGAGGAAACGGAGTTATTGGTTGTTGACCGGGAGGACTTCCTTGAGAATAATCTGGACCGGGAAGTTCAGAAGGAAGCTCAGCATCAGTTTGAATTTTTTAGGTAACTCCACCTTCATTCACCATTTTTTCTCCCTGTGTGTTTAATAGGTGCTTAACTTTGTCCTAGACCTGGTGGGAAACATACTAGGTATTGTCCTGTCTGGCTGGAATGCACTGGAATATCCACATCTCACCCAATTGTTCTCTAACAAACTCCTATCATACCTTTAGGTCTCAGCTCAAATATCCTTTCCTTGTGGAATAATAATAAGAATAACTAACATATATTGAGCACTTGCTGGGCCAGGCACTTTGTACCACTTGTCACATCTAATGTCACATTCAGTCCTTCGTTTGTAGATGAGAGAACCAAGGCTCAGGATGATGAAATGTCCAGCATGTCTGATTCACAAGTCCCCAGGCTTCACCACCCTACCTCACTAACTCACTCCTCATCCCAGAATAAAAAGGGTATCCCATCTATGCTTCTATTACACCCCATGTTTCTTTAAACCCCCTATCCAAACTGTACTTCTTGATTGCATAATAATTTCTTTACAGTTTATATGCCCCGTCAGGCAGTAAGCAATATGATGTCAGGGACCAGATCTGTCTTTTTCACTATTGTAATCCTCATATTGTCACAGTGCCAGGCACATGCAGGTGCTAGACAAGTAAATACAGAATACATGAATAACGGGATATAAATAATTACAATCATGTGTGGGTCAGAAAGTAAGCACCTTAACTATGGGTACCATATTTAACCAAAGAACAGAACTCATACATAGCAAAAGATTCTTGTTTGTTTTGAGTACTTACCTGAAAGGCCACATAGGATATATAAATTAAATCTCATTTAATTGCTCTTTAGTTATTTGCTTTTATGTAAAAGAGTAAAACTCCACTAAAGAATCTGCACTAACTCTGCAGATCTAGGTCGTAGGGCTGCACAGCTACAGAGAAGTGTGTTTGCAGAGGGGTCTGGGCCCTGTGGCTGGAGCTGAGAGAGGTGGCTTCATGACGGGGGCTGGAGCCTGGGAAAGTGGGGATTCAGTCCTGAAGGGAGGAATAAATAGTTCATTTTCCATTTTTTCCTTTTGTTTTTGAGACAGAGTCTCACTTCATTGTTCTGAGTAGAGTGCCATGGCATCAGCCTAGCTCACAGCAACCTCAAACTCCTGGGCTTAAGCAATCCTCCTGCCTCAGCCTCCCGAGTAGCTGAGCACACCACGATGGCTGCCTAATTTTTATGTTTTTAGTAGAGACGGGGTCTCGCACTTGCTCAGGCTGGTGTCGAACTCCTGAGCTCAAGCAGTCCTCCCGCCTCGGCCTCCCAGAGTGCTAGGATTACAGGCGTGAGCCACCGCGCCCGGCCCATTGTTCATATTGTGGAAAAATAGATCTAGTTCCAAGCTCAGCTCTTAGGTTTATCAGCGATGTGACCCTAGACAGGTTACTTCATTTCTCTGGGCTTTAGCCTCCTGCTCTGTAAAATGTGGATAATGATACCTCTTTCCCAAGGTCATTGTAAGGATGGAATGACATGAGCTTGATGGGAGGGGAGGGCCTGGAGAAAAGGGTGGAGGGAGCAGAGGTGGCAGCAGGACAGTGGCTACAGGCTAGTTGATTGGGTGGGGAATGAGAAAACCTTCCCCCTAGGCATCTTCCACAGTAGAAGAGCATGTTCTCTTTCTGGAAATTGCTATGATCTGGGCAGCTTATGTGATGGAAAGCGATGAATTCTAACAGGCCTTTCCCCTCAGGAAGATGGATCTGTTTGCACTGTGGTCTGATGAGAAGCTCTGGCAGCTCGTAGGCCTGGGGAAGATAGAGAAATTCTCCTACAGGCAGCTGATCTCAGAAGATATTGTAAAGTCACCTTTCATCAGGTTTGTCTGCAAGGTGAGAAGTCTGGGGGTGGGGAACAAATATGAAGCCGGGAAGAGCATGCCTAATATAATGTCCTGTGGCCAGACATACAGGGTTTGAGCCCTGTTCTGCAACTGGCATAATGCACTTCCTTTTTGAGTCTCTGTGTCCTAGTATAAAAGGCCTGCCTCCCTCGGAGGGCTGCTGCAACCTTTAAGATGTATAGCTATTACGTTGGAAAGAGGACCAAGTGTTGCTCCCTTCTTGAGCTCATATGCATGCTTATTTACATATAGATGCATATTTATATATATGCATATTTATATATTTGGCTCTTGAATCTTAAAGGTGCCAGACCATCTTTTTTTTTTTTTTTAGACAGTCTCACTCTGTTGCCCTGAGTAGAGTGCTGTGGTGTCATCCTAGCTCACAGCAACCTCAAACTCCTAGGCTCAAGCCATCCTTCTTCCTCAGCCTCCCAAGTAGCTGGGACTACAGGCATGTGCCACCATGCCCAGCTAATTTTTTCTATATATTTTTAGTTGTCCAGCCAATTTCTTTCTATTTTTAGTAGAGACAGGGTCTGGCTCTTGCTCAGACTGGTCTCAAACTCCTGACCTCAAGTGATCCTCCTGCCTCGGCCTACCAGGGTGCTAGGATTACAGGCGTGAGCCACCGCGCCCGGCCCAGATCATCTTTTTAAAAATCATAATCTTTAAATTATAAAAGTGATATGACTATATTATAAAACTTTCTGGAAAGAAGGAAGAAATTACCCATAAGCTTATTACCTCGGTACAGAGTTTCAAAAGTGGAATTTCTTGGTATTATAATTTTTCTTTTGCAAGGCAAACTTTATCCAAGGGGGGGCGTTGAGATAGCTATAGGGATACTGCAATGGGGTCTAGCAGTCAGGGACAGAGATTGGGCTCAACTCCCAGTTTCATGATTTTTATGGCTCCTGGAACGAATTGCCTTCTAAAAGGCAGGGGCCACCTTACCTGGCTTCCAGGATGTGCAGCTTTGCCAATGCCACCACACCTCTGCCAGCTTTGCAAGTCACTTTTTCAGAAGTTTTCAAATTTAATAGGTAGCAATTGCTTCCTCACTGAGGATTTAATATATATATATTTTTTCTGATTACTAGTGAGATTCATCATGTGTGTTTACTACTAATATCTAAAGTTGGCTGGGCGCGGTGGCTCACGCCTATAATCCTAGCACTCTGGGAGGCCGAGGCGGGAGGATTACTCGAGGTCAGGAGTTCGAAGCCAGCCTGAGCAAGAGCGAGACCCCGTCTCTACTATAAATAGAAAGAAATTAATTGGCCAACTAATATATATAGAAAAAATTAGCTGGGCATGGTGGTGCATGCCTGTAGTCCCAGCTACTCAGGAGGCTGAGGCAGCAGGATTGCTTGAGCCCAGGAATTTGAGGTTGCTGTGAGCTAGGCTGATACCACGGCACTCACTCTAGCCTGGGCAACAAAGTGAGACTCTGTCTCAAAAAATAAATAAATAAAGTTTGTCTTTTGCAAATTGCTCTGTGCCCTTTGCCACCTTCTCTCTGTTGGTTGATAATGAAAAGAAAATCTAACATTTATCAAGTTAGATTGGTAAATATCATATGCCAGGCTCTGTGTTTCACATGCTTTATCTCATTTCGGTCTCAGTAGCCTAAAGGAGGTTGGCATTGTCATTATTGCCATTTTACAGAGGAGGAAACTGAGGCACATTAAGGTTAAGTGGTTGTCCAAGGACCCACAGGTGATGAGGGGCAGAGGGTTCAACCCAGGTCTGTCTGGCTCCAAAGCTCTTCTCAGGAACTGGGATTTGGGATTTGAGTTGATCTTTCTGTCAATTCCTTACAGTTGAAGACACCACAAGCATTTGTTAAATTTTTGTCAAGTTTGCAACACATTGGTCCAGGCTCTGGAGGGATACAGAGATGAAAAAGACTGATTCTTTCTCTTTGTGTGTATCTTCCACTAGATTCCACGCATAGACAAAGTAATCAGTACCAAGTACCAAGAGATTGGTGCAAACTGTGCAAGATACCAGAATCCAGGAGAGGGAACTCTCTTAAGGCTGGAGGCTTTTAAGGAAAGCTTCGTGGAGGGGCTGGGGTGTAGACAAGCCTTGAAGTATTGAACCAGCAGACAAAAGGAAGGGAGCAAGAGTGGTAGGGTGCTGGAGCTGGCTTGTATTGGCCTTCAAGAGCTGATTGTTGGCTGGGCACATTGGCTCACACCCGTAATCCTAGCACTCTGGGAGGTGGAGGCCGGAGGATTGCTTGAGGGCAAGAGTTCAAGACCAGCCTGACCAAGACTGAGACCTCCATCTTTACTAAAAATAGAAACAAAAAATTAGCTACTTGGGAGGCTGAGGCAGGAGGATCACTTGAGCCCAGGAGTTTGAGGTTGCTGTGAGCTAGGCTGATGCCACAGCACTCTAGCCCAGGCAACAGAGTGAGACTCTTTCTCAAAAAAAAAAAAAAAGAGCTGATTGTTAAATTTTCAGGAATTTTGCAAGTTGATAAACACAATAATTACTAAATATTAGGTTATATAAACCTATAGTTAAATAAGCTATATTGTAAACAAGGATAATAAATACTGAAAACTCACCATTTCCTAAAGATGTTACTGTATTTTACTATTGTCTTTGCTCTGAGGTCATGTCTATCGTATTGGTCTGGTAGAAATTGTGTGCATCTCTTCCCAACCCCATACTCAGTGGCTTCACCTTGGTGGCTTACAGTCAGCCATGTGGGAGTATTTACACAATGGAATCAGCAGACACCCCAAGTCAAGTCTTGATCTATGACTTTGCTGATTGTCTTGGGAAAGCATTAAGAGAAAATGTTTATAATGCAGATTAAATTTTAAAATGGGCTGGGTCTGTATCTGTTACACCGTGCGGAGAAGGAAATTGAGGAAATAGTCTGACAATATGTAAAAACCGTTGTCTGATTCATCACAGAAGTTACGTCATTGATGAACAAGTAAAGTTCTGACATACATAGTGCTAAAGCGAAAAGAAGTTTCAATTTAAGGAATATAATTTCTGTGAGGGGGAGAAATAGCTTCACAGATCACAGATCAGATTTAAAAACATTAAATTTATTAGGAAAAGAATGAATTGGGATGCAACTTCATTTGTCAAATTATGGTTGAATTGCAACTATAGATTGGCTGTGGATACAAAAGTTCAGCCAAAGTCAACTGAAGCATTCTGTGAGAATTGATGGGCTCTATGGAATTTCCAGAAGAGTATGGCATGTTTTTTTTTTTTTTTTTTTTGAGACAGAGTCTCGCTTTGTTCCCCAGGCTAGAGTGAGTGCCATGGAGTCAGTCAACCTAGCTCACAGCAACCTCAAACTCCTGGGCTCAAGCAATCCTGTTGCCTCAGCCTCCCGAGTAGCTGGGACTACAGGCATGCACCACCATGCCCGGCTAATTTTTTCTGTATATGTTTTTAGTTGGCCAATTAATTTCTTTCTATTTATAGTAGAGATGGGGTCTCTCTCTTGCTCATGTTGGTTTCGAACTCCTGACCTCGAGCAATCCACCCGCCTCGGCCTCCCCAGAGTGCTAGGATTACAGGCATGAGCCACCCCGCATCTGGCCGGCATAGGCATATTTTATTATTTACAAATTGTGTGTAACACACCCTTAATGACAGTAAAATTTATATACATGTTGCTTTTTTCTGGAGAGCTGTTAAACTTACTAACACCACTGGGAGTCTGTGAGTGTGTGTGTGTATGTTGTTATTCTGGGTTCAGTCCCAAAGAATAGAATTAAGTCTAGCTAATATAAGTAGAAAGAGATTTATTGCAGGATGTTAAATGGCTAACTGATTTCCTGGGGAGAAGCCTACAGAAACAGACCCTAGACTGAAGATGACTCCCAGCCACCTCCAAGTCAGAGTCCAGAGCTGAACAGCCACAGGTGCTGCTGTCCCTGCCATCTCAGGTTGGTGGCTACAGCCACCATCTCCAGTAACAAAGTGGATATCTGACACTTCCAAAACCAAGCCTTGTCCAGGTGCATGAGGTTGGTGGAACCCAAGTCACATCCAGAACCTTAGCTGCAAGGGAACCCAGGAAATGAAGCGATTGGCTTCATCTCTGCACACTAAGGAGGGATTGGGTCTCTGCAGAGGAGGGAGGGGGTGAAGTCAGTGCCAGCCAGGGTACAGTAGGCCTATGCCTGGGGTTATGATAAGTTTGGAGAATCCTGATGATCATATAATAGGAAATGGGAGGTTGGCTGGAGAGCCCTGAAGGCCAACCTGCATAATTTTCAATTCCTTTTCTTCCCTGATACTTGCTAATTCTTTCCTAAAATTTTGAGGTAATCACCTCCAAAGCCATGAAATAACATATATCACCAGATTTAACGTGAAGCTCTTTTGCTACTTTACAGCCAGGAACAATGGGGGGAGGATGAGTGGGGAGGGATGTAAATCCTAGGCTTCCTTTAATCAGCTTGATTGCCTTTTGACCAGCAGAAAGCGGGGGATGCTTCTTAATCTGTTTTGCCTCCATTTCTTCATCTGTAAAATGGAACTACTCACCTTCTGAAGTCTGGTAAGGATGAGAATCAGTTTAGCACGTGCTTCCTCAATTCACATTCATCCTTAAATCCAGTGGTTCTCGAAGTGTTGTGGCTGGGCCAGCAGCAGCAGCAGCAGCACTTGGGAACTCATTACAAAATGTAAATTCTCAGACTCACCCAAGAACTGTTAAATCTAAAACTCTGGGAGGGAGGTCTCAGTAATCTGTGTTTCAACAAGCTTTCCAGGCGATTCTGATGCACACTAAAGTTGGAGAACTCCTGGCCCAAGGGAGGCATCTTCAAATTTTGGTAAGCATAAAAACACCTCGAGTGCTTTTTAAAAAGGCAGATTACTTTCTGGCCCCAGAGATTGATTCATTAACTCTGGAATCTGCAGAGTTAAGGGCTGCCGCAGGTGATTCTAATGCAGAGGAACCTGGAAAAATAACACAGACGGCACAAAATGATAGCAGGTAGGGGGGCTTTCAGGGGGCCCAGCAGATGAGATTGGTTTGTTCCTTACAGTGTTTTATTAAAATCTGATTTAATCATTAATGTGAAGATTTTACATAAAAATTCTGATTTCTGGCTTTTGAGAATTCAGAAGATCAGGCAACACCAGGTTGTATTCTGGTACAAGGCCCCCTCTAGCTGGAACTAAAAAGCACCTACTCCCTCTAAAGGGACTGCTCTTTTTTCTCATTTTTGTTTCCTGCCTGGCCAGCGCCTCGAGTGTTCTTTGGGAAGGAGACCGGACTGCCCGACTCCTGTAGTTTACTCATATTGCCACAAGAGGGCGAAATCAGCCTCGAGTCCCTGGGCATCCTTGGAACCTTGGAAAATATTAATATGATTTCTTGCCAGCATCACAAATGTAATTAATGCCCATAATCAACTCATTTTGAACAGTTTATCATTTGGGGACACATGATGAAACAGTTCTTTCCACAAATACAGATATAATTAAAAGACCCATGGGAAACTTTCCAAGAGGAAACTGCGTTGGTGTGTGTTTCTCTGGCTCCTATAGTTCTTTGGTGATAACTGTTTGTTGAATGAATATTGAGTAAAGCTTCGGGCACAATGCCTGGCATATAAGGGCTTATTAAATGTTTGTTCCATGCTTCTCCTTCCTCTTTAACAGGAATTTGTCTTGAATCTTAACCCTTTATAATGTGTCTCTTAGAGTACCTACTAAAAAAAGGGTAAAATTTTTAAAAAGATATAAAATAAAAAGAAAAAAATTACATCTTTATTACCTGTCAGATTAGCAAAGATTAAAAGGGTTGTGAAGGCCGGGCGCTGTGGCTCACGCCTGTAATCCTAGCTCTTGGGAGGCCGAGGCGGGCGGATTGCTCAAGGTCAGGAGTTCAAAACCAGCCTGAGCAAGAGCGAGACCCCGTCTCTACTATAAATAGAAAGAAATTAATTGGCCAACTGATATATATATAAAAAAAAAAAAAATTAGCCGGGCATGGTGGCGCATGCCTGTAGTCCCAGCTACTTGGGAGGCTGAGGCAAGAGGATTGCTTGAGCCCAGGAGTTTGAGGTTGCTGTGAGCTAGGCTGACGCCATAGCACTCACTCTAGCCTGGGCAACAAAGTGAGACTCTGTCTCAAAAAAAAAATTTTTTTTTTAAACATGCATACCTTTAGGAATTATCCCTAAGGAGATAATCAAGCATGGGTATTATATTAGAATAAACTAGATGATGCTTCAGTTATAAACAGTCCTCAAATTTCAGTGGATTAACTAACTAAGATATATTCCTTCATCACTCTACTTGCCCATATGTCATCAGAGAGGCCTTGCTCCTTATGGTCACTCAGGGTCACAGGCCACTAGAGACTTGACCCATGCTCCCATGAGCAACAGGACAGGAGAAGGGAATGTTGAGAATCAAGCAGTAGCTTTTATTTTATTTTATTTTATTTTATTTTATTTTATTTTATTTATTTTTTGAGACAGAGTCTCACTCTGTTGCCTGGGCTAGAGTGCCGTGACATCTACCTAGCTCACAGCAACCTCAAACTCCTGGGCTCAAGTGATCCTCCTGCCTCAGCTTCCTGAGTAGCTGGGACTACAGGCATGTGCCACCATGCCTGGCTAATTTTTTCTATGTATTTTTTTGTTGGCCAATTAATTCCTTTCTATTTTTAGTAGAGACAGGGTCTTGCTCTTGCTCAGGCTGGTTTCGAACTCCTGACCTTGAGGGATCCACCCACCTTGGCCTTCCAGAGTGCTAGGATTACAGGGATGAGCCACCGCACCCGGTCCAAGCAGTAGCTTTTGTTTCTACTCAGAGTACAAGTTACTTTGCTAAAGAAATCTAAGAAAATTAGCTAAAGCAAGTAAGAAGTCCATGCCTAATTCAAAGGATGGAAAAGTACAATTCTGCCATGTGCCTCAAAGGAGAACTTGAGTATTTGTGTGCTACCTCTATAGGAATTAAGGTGTATCTACAAAAATATCGGTTAGAGTTGCTCTCTGTTGCAGATCACAGAAACCCAGCTGTGTGGCTTAGTAAATATAATAGTATTTTTCTCATGCAATAATCATTCTAGAATTAGGCAGTCCAGGACTGGAACAGCTGTTCTAGGAAGTCTTCAAAACCTCAAGTCCAGGCTGGGCGTGGTGGCTCACGCCTGTAATCCTAGCACTTTGGGAGGCCGAGGCGGGTGGATTGCTCAAGGTCAGGAGTTCGAAACCAGCCTGAGCGAGACCCCGTCTCTACCAAAAATAGAAATAAATTAATTGACCAACTAAAAATATATATACAAAAAATTAGCTGGGCATGGTGGTGCATGCCTGTAGTCCCAGCCACTCGGGAGGCTGAGGCAGTAGGATCGCTGAGCCCCGGAGTTTGAGGTTGCTGTGAGCCAGGCTGATGCCATGGCACTCACTCTAGCCTGGGCAACAAAGTGAGACTCTGTCTCAAAAAAAAACAAAAACAAAAAACAAAAAAAAAACCTCAAGTCCTGGGCCGGGCGCGGTGGCTCACGCCTGTAATCCTAGCACTCTAGGAGGCCGAGGCGGGCCTATTGCTCGAGGTCAGGAGTTCGAAACCAGCCCTGTCTCTACTATAAATAGAAAAAAATTAATTGGACAACTAATATATATAGAAAAAATTAGCCGGGCATGGTGGTGCATGCCTGTAGTCCCAGCTACTCAGGAGGCTGAGGCAGGAGGATTACTTGAGCCCAGGAGTTTGAGGTTGCTGTGAGCTAGGCTGACGCCATGGCACTCACTCTAGCCTGGACAACAAAGCGAGACTCTGTCTCAAAAAACAAACAAACAAACAAACAAAAAACCTCAAGTCCCTTCTAGTTTTTCCCGTCATCCTCCACAGTTTATAGCTTTTGTCCTAATGATCACAAGATGGCTATTCCACCTCCAGCCATCTCATCTGAGTTTCCGGCAGAGGAAAGGAGGAAAGACAATGGTAGCTTTCCTGGGAGTTTTATGCAGCAGTCTTCCACTTATATCTCATTAGCCAGAACTGGGTCACTGCCACCCCACTATAGGGGAGTTTGGGGAAGTGGTGAGTTTTTTTTAATTGGGGACTTTGCTGCTCTGAACAAAATCAGAGTTATATATGTATAATACTGACAGATTAGAAACAACCAAATATGAATCTTCAGAGATGTTTTCTTGAGGTATAACATATATGCAGTAAAGATTTGAATTCTAAACTTTACAGCTTATAAATTTTTACTTATATATGTACTTGTATAACCATCACCCGAATCAAAATAAAGAACATTTCCAGCATTCCAGAAGGCTCCTCTGTGCCCTTTCCCAGACAAAATTCCCACAAAGGTTACCAGTCTTATGACTTATATCACTATAGATTACTTTTGCCTATTTTCATACAGTATGTACTCTTTGTGCCTGACTTCTTTTGGTCAACTGAATATTTGTTATTTTAATTTTGTAAATTATGGTACACACAGAATGATATGTAACCATTAAAATGATAATGTAGAACCATATTGTTTGGCATGGAAAGATGTCTTTGATATATTATTGAGTTTCTAAAAAGGTTACAAGTCTGTTTTACATAAATGAATTCATTTATGAACAATTATATATTTCTCATGTGTTTAGAGAGAAAATTTGAAATAATATTCAGCAACATTTTACTACCAGTTATTTCTGGGTGTTAGAATTATGTAGTTTTAATTTTCTGTTTGTTCTCCTATTTGGTTTGAATATTTTTTAAACTTTTAATTTTGGAATAATTTTAAATTAATAGAAAAATTACAAGAGCAATACAAAGAACTCCTTTATAACCTTAACCAAGCTTCACTGATTGTTATTAATATCTACCACATTTGCTTTAGTGTATATATATATATTTTTCCCACCTGAATCATTTAAGAGTTAAGTATCATTTATTGTACTCATTTACTCCTGTATACTCAAGTAATTGTTTTCTAAGATCAGAAATTAACCACAGAATAATTATCAAAATCAGGGAATTTTAATATTTATATAATATATGATCTACAGATCATAATCAGTTTCACCAATTGTCTCAATGACTTCCATGTTGATATTTTCCCAATGCTAGCATTGTATTTAGTTCTTATGCCTTCTTAGCTACTTGAATTTTTTAATGAGTAGATAACATTTTCATAAAAAGAAAAAAAGAACCTGAAACCACTTGCATTAAGCAGATAAAACAACATGGGATGAGATGCAATTGGAGAGCTTCTCTGCAAAGCCTGGCCGGTCTGGGCCTCAGGGGCTAACCCTTTTGTTGTGTCCCTCCATGCTTCTAGGGCACCTGTGAGGTCCTGAGGCTGATAGACCTGGGGGAGTCCCCTGCCTACCTCAAGTGGATCTGGCAGCACCTGGGGCTGGTCGACGGCAGGCCTCTGAGGTACCACTTCAATGGTGAGCTGCTCGGCCACGCTGGCGGCAGGGGGCGCCTGGGCCCGCCCTGTTCCCCATCCCAGCCCATAGAATCCGAGATCTGAGTCAGCAGGGTGGGACAGGATGTCTGGTTTCTCCCTTCTTCCACCAGCTGTGGAAACCTGGTCCACAAGGCCCTGCCTTCCCTTCCAGCCTCCTCGCAAGCCTTTTCCCTGTCACTCTTCAGGTTTTCTCACATGGCCATCTACTCTTGCGTCCCACCCCCACTCTGCCCGGCTCTCTTCCCCTTTTTAGATCTTGGAGCGAATACACATCCCTTCCTCAGAGAAGTCTTCCGATTTCTCATGCTGGATCAGCATCTACCATCCCCACTGTGTCCCGTGCAAGTGCCCCGTGTTTTTCTTCCGTGGTATTTAACCCCACTGAAATCACACAACTGAATCCAAAATGGTTATTAAGTATTTGTCTCCCTTGCTAGAATATGAGCTCTATCAAGGTGGGCCTTGTTTTCCCAGGGCTTGCTACCACGCCTGGCATCTAGCGGGTGCTCAGAAGCTAATCACAGAGCGAATGGATAAACAGATCTGTCTTGGCTGTTCTATATGGTTATGGGCACGTCCCGGGCTGTAAATGTGTGTGAGAGAATGCCCGGCCCCCGTTACACCATCCTGGCTGGAAGCGGAAGTCTAGATCTATGTTTTTTAATAGTTGAGCTTTATTCTCTTACAGAGATATACAATAATTAATTTAACTACCTTTTATAGGTATTTTGAGTTATTTCCAGTTCAGTTTTTCACTGTCCAAATTTTTACCCTACTGTGGTCAATTTCCTGGTATGTTTGGCAAGGAAACATATTAGACAAATTCTTAGACTTACTGAATCAAGTCATTGATCCAGTGCATACTGGCTCATGTACATTTTTAAACATTGATAGATGATGTCGTATGCCTTTCAAAAAGGTCATACTCAGGTCATGCTCTGTTAAGCCAGGTCTATTCTTTGTGGAGTTTGGATTTGTCTTTGTTAACATTAGTTTTAATAGTTGATTCTAACACTAGAGATCTCTTTTTAATCCATGTTATTGAGGTATAATTTTTACACAATAAAATGCACGTGTTTACATGTGTAGTTCTATGAATTTTGACAAATGTATACCTCTGTGTAGCCACCATAATCAAGTTATGGAACATTTCCATCACCTCTAAAAGCTCCCTTGTGCCCCTTCCCGGTCAATCTCTACCCCACACACCTGTCCTCAACAACACTGATTAGCTTTCTGTCACCATTGGTTGCATTTGTCTTCCCAGTGTGGACTCTTCTGTGTCTGACTTCTTTCACTCAGCATAGTATTTTTGAGCAATTGGTTTGCTCTTTTTTATTTCTGAGTTATACTCCCTTGGAGATCATTTTAATAACTCTCAGAGAGGGCCTATTATATGCCGGCACTGTGCATATCACATACTTTATCTGTAATTCTTACAATGGTCTTCCGAGGGCTCTAAGGATTACGTGACTTGTTCCAAGGCTCTATGGCTAGTCATCCATCTATCTTTTATCGTCACCCCTGGCCCAGTGTGAAAGCCCAGTTTAAAAAGCTGAAATAAGTGTGGTCTGCTAATGGAATGATAGTGAGCTTAGAATCAAATCGACCTGAATTCAGATTCAAACTTTGGTCCTTTTCTGGGTGACTTGAATTCTCTGCTGTTCATCTTATCTCTTAGATTAGGATAATTACACTTGTCTGGATATAACTCATAGGAAGGCTCCAGCACAGGGACGTTACATGGAGGCCACAGTGGTTTTCTTTTCTTGTCCTCTTAATTCCCTTATGTGTCAGACTGTCCAGGCAGGTTCCTATGATATATGTCTTCCACCACCACCCTAACTGCCCTGTATACAAAGACCTATTAATGTGTTTTCCTGTGCTTTCTCTAACAGAACCCTCTCCTAGGGAGAGATTTAAGGAATTCCAGATCAAATCATATCCTCTACAGGACTTCAGCTATTTGAAACTTCTGCATCTCCAGAAAGCCCGGGAGAAAAAGGGGACAAGTGTCAGTGGGACGATCAACACCTCAGAAAATAGCCTTCCAAAGCTCCTGGGCCCAAAGATCAAGTAAGCTCAGCTTTTAGCAGATTTAAGAGTCCAGATTGCAGTTGAAAAGGGGGCTATGACTTACATGGCCAAATGTCAGGGATGCAGGGGAGGGGGCAGACACAAGTCCACCTCAGAGGGATGGGTGTGTGCACGCAAGGCCACCTAGGTTTGCTGTCTACGACTTGCATTCTCCACCTCTGACTCACAGGGCCATGTTAGGTGGCCTTCTTTTCTCAGGGCCTCAGTAACACACTTAAGGAAGGGCAGGATGGATCTTTCAGCTCTAACATTCTGTTGGTGTGTGTGCTGCTGCACTCTTTGGATTCTGAGCTTCTTTAAAAAATTCTACTCATCTGAGGGAGGCAGTTCTAGCTTAGTAATAAGAGCCTGGATTTGGAGTCCGTCCAACCCAGATTCAGCTCCTGGCCTGACCACTTATTTTAGCTCTGTGTCCCTGGGCAAGGGACTTGACCTCTCTAAGCCTTATTTCTTTCTAGATAATAGTAGCTAAGTCTCAGGGTTGTTGTAAGCCAGCAATTGAATGAGAATACTTCTTCTGTGCCTGGTACCAAATTATCGAATTGAATCCTCATAATAACCCTATGAGTAAGTACTATTATCATCACTCCCATTTTTCAGGTGAGGAAACCAAGGTACAGAGAAAGATTAAGGTCCTGGTCACACAGGTAGGAAGTGGCAGAGCCAAGACTCAAACCTGAGCAGCTTGTTAATGCTCAGTCTTCACAATTGTCACTACGGATATGAGACTGGTGCACATTGAGGGCTGTGCTTTTGCTTTCCTAGAGAGGATGAGGAGCAGAAAAGGACATTCCATGGGGCCCGACCTAGAATCAGCTCAACCCCAAGCCCAGAGCAGCATAGACCCCTCCCCTCATTACATTTGGAATTGAGGTATCATAATGGTACTAATAAGGGCATCAGTGTCACAATCCCCTTGTCGCCCCATGGGCCACTTCACTCAAGTCCTTTGCCCGTTAGTAATTCTGAGCTGCTCACCTCCATAACGAGTCTCCATGACTTCTGCTCATTCCGAGGAACCCGGTGCTTGAAATCCCAGTCCCAGTTCTTCCAAAGGTAGAGATGGAACAGACTCAGTTTCTTTGCTGTGAATGAGTCAGGGAGAAGGGATGGGTTGGACCCAGAAGTGAAAAAAAAGGACATGCTAGGCATGTGCCATTCACGTCCATGTCCCGGTGGGCTGGGAATTGAATCCTGTCTTGTTTATGTGCAGAGCGAGCTCAGCTATACTCTCAGCTGGTAAATAATCTTTTCCTGCCTCTAGGCCAAATTGCACAGCCTGCCTCTGCCTTCCATGTAGACAGAGACCAAAGAAAGCACGGCAGGATTGCCTGTGTGAAATTAGCTCCAATATGAGCAAAGTACAGGGTCTCCAGGCCACCCAGGGAAACCTGTCTCTGTAAACAAATAAATAAGCCATCTCTTCTCGGCCTTTCTGTCAAGAAGAGCCCCAACTTCTGCCTTGTCCCCAGGAGTACAGAGCTTATTCCTTATCAAAGCAGTGTATTCCATTTCCAGACAGCTCTGTTAGAAGTTCCTTCTTCACATGGAGCATAAGTGGGCCTGGATGCCTGGCCCATCAGACCTGGCCCAGCTGAGGATCCCCAGCCGGCCCTCCACAGAGCAGCCCTCCAGTGTTCAAAGGGGCCCCAGCTCCTGCCCCTCCTCTGTCTCCTCCCCACGTCCCCAGTTCCTGGCAATGGGAGTCAGTCTGTCCCAGGGCTCTTGAGTTTTCTCACCTTCTGGCAGGTGTGACTTCTCCAGGGAGGGGAGCTCTCACCTTGTAGAGTGGAGGCTGATCAGGCAGGGCCTTGCTCAGCCTGGCTCTGTCACAGATGAGTTCTCTCTAACAAGCTGTCAAATTTCAGATCCAAGCATACTCATTCAATCAAATGGCCGATGATCAATACCAAGTTTGGTGAGCTCCCCAAGGAGGCTGCCGTGGGGGCCTACATGAAGATCCACAATGTGGAGCAAGGGGAAATCGTGGTAAGTGTGCAGAGAGCCCTGTTCACACAGCATGTGAAGGAACCATTGGGGGGAAAGACTACATTGGAGGGAGGATGTCAGAGGGACACGGGGCCCACTAAAAGAGCTCCCAGCAGCCATAGCTGGAGCAATTGGAGCAAAAAATACTAAAGCAGTATTGGATTTTAACCTAGAGTAGAAAATAAATATCCATGAGTGCATATTGCTCGAAATGAATAAATAATAAATTATTATTTTTATTATTTTTTGAGACAGAGTCTAGAGTGCCATGGCATCAGCCTAGCTCACAGCAACCTCAAACTCTTGGGCTCAAGCGATCCTCTTGCCTCAGCCTCCCAAGTAGCTGGGACTACAGGCATGTGCCACCATGCCCGGCTAATTTTTCTATATATCTTTTTAGTTGGCCAATTAATTTCTTTCTATTTTTAGTAGAGACGGGGTCCCACTCTTGGTCAGGCTGGTTTCGAACTTCTGACCTTGAGTGATCCACCCTCCTCGGCCTCCCAGAGAGCTAGGATTACAGGCGTGAGCCACCGCGCCTGGCTGAATAAATTAATAAATGGGGGACAAGAGACAAATCTTCCTATAGAATAATTCCAAATAATTTATGTAAATCCCCTGTCCTGAAGGAGGGAGAGCGTAACTCCTCACTCCTTAAACGTGGGCTGCACACAGCGACCTTCTGTCCAAAAAATACAGTATGGGAAGACCGGGAGATGGGGTAACTTTCCAGTGGAGAGGTCAGAGAAACACTGCCTCGGCCGGGTGATGAAGGCCAAGATCAACAATAATAAATCGTGTTGATCATGCTGCCCCTTGGTATGCTGAGAGGAAAATGGCCCTTCTGTGGTTGTTCTCTTAATAACTGTGACCCAAGTCTAATCATGAGAAAAACATCAGACAAACTCTAATAGTGGAGCATCCCACAAAATACCAATGAGTGCTCCTCAATACTGTCAAAGTTACCAAAAACATGGTTAAGTCTGAGAAACTGCCACAGGCTCCAAGGGGAGCCTAAAGAGATACGACAATGAGATGTAATGTTGTATCCCAGATAGGCTAGTGGAACAGAGATACGACATTAGGTAGAACAGGAAATCTAAGTAACTCACTGATTTCAGCTAGTAATAAGGTGTTAATATTGGTTCATCCATTGTAACTAAGATACACAATGTTAGATGTTAATGTGAGGGGGAACTTAAGGGGAGGTGAGGAATTGTGTGGGGGGGTGAGAACTCTGTACTATCTTCTCAATTTTTCTGTAAATCTAAAATGTTCTAAAACATAGACCATTAAAAAGTGTGGCTGACCCAGGTTTGGCTGTGAGCTGAACACCACTGAAGACGGGTGGTGCGTGCCAGCGCTGATCGCAGGAGCAGTTGGGGTGGGGGGGGCAGAGGGGCAGGAGACCTCAGCCTCCTGGGGAGGGGCTGTGTCCTGAAGCCCATGTGCGATCATTCCTCTGGGAACCTGCTCTCTTCCCAAGCCCTTTTCGATGTTCCTCAGTCACAGTGTCTCCAAGGTCATTGTTATGCCTTTGTCACCCTGTGTTATGGTGGGTCATGGGTGCTCCTGCCCCCTGGCCCGTGTGTCCTCAGAGCCCAGAAGGTCAGCCCAGGACTGTCTGGGAGCCCCAATCCCTAGCATGGCCCTTGATCCATGCTGGCTGAATACTTTGGGGCTCTTAGGAAGTTCTTCTTGTCCAGTAAAACTCGGCCTCCTGCAACTTTAAACTAGTTCCTCTCCTCTCCCTGCCCCACCCCCAAGAACAAAACAGAAGAGATCAGCTTCCTTGCCATGTGATGCCCCTTAGATATTTAAGGAATGCTGTTTTGTTTCTCATTCAGCATTTGTGCAGCCAGGCACAGTGCCAACGTTCCATTAATTATTTTCTTATTCGGGCAGAATGACCTCCATTCCTTCAGTTCTTCCTGTGACAGCCCCTTCACTGCTTCACTTTAGTTTGTCTGCGTGTCAGAGCGAGGAGCTAAGCATGAACACAGGGCGCCCAGGGACACTAGGGCACGTTGAGCGGGATGGAGGCGCAGAGGGCAGGAAAGGCCTTGCTCAGTTTGGTAGGTGGTGACAGGAATGGGAGGCTGTGGAAGGAACAGGAACAACAGGGGCTGTTTAGTCGAGGACCTGCTAGGCTACAGTAGGAGACTTGGCCTTGATTTTGTAGAAGCCCTGGAAGGCTTTGGGTGTGGACTTAGCACAATGACCTGGCTGTCTCTTCCCTACACAGGGCCAGCACAAAGAAGGCCCTCAACAAATACTTGTTAACATGACCCCTTTGAAGAGAATGTCTGTGGCTGTCTCCACGAGGTGCCTGTGATGTGGGACTCTGTTCTCTCTGTTCCAAGCCCCTGGCTTCGTTGGTAGCAGAATGAGCAGTGAAAGCTGTGACCATATCCACCTGCCAGAAGGTAGATCATATTGTCCTTGCCCTTAGGAGCAGGAGTGTGGAGCTGGATTGGCTCTGGGCACAGCAGAAGTTAGGGCCTAGGGTGGAGAGACCCAAATTTGGGGCCAGGAGATATGGAGGAACCAGCTTCTCCAGGGAGCAGGTGGGCTGAGGCCTCCGAAGGTGGTCAAGACTGGGCAGGCCAGAGCCATGGGCAGGGCAGGAGAGAGGTGACAGGTGGAGGTTCTTCTTCTCACATTGCTTCTAGTAGATAGCTAAGTGGCCTTGGGCGAATCATTTTACCTTTCTGAATCTGTGTCCTCATCAGAAAATGAGGAAATTCACTCAGTGAGCTGCCACCTTTAATGTTGTGTGACTCTGTTTGAGTCAGTCGTTCAGCAGATATTCCTTGAGGGTCTACCGTGCTCTAAACATGGCACGAGGGGCCAGCGTGGGCGAGCACACAGACATAATTCCTGCCTTCATGGGGCTTACAGCCTAGTCAGGACAAACAATGAGCAGATAAACTAGCAAATACGTAAGGCACTGTATTGCTGTTAGGAGTGGAATAGAGGCGGGCTTCTTAAACGTAGCGGTCAAGGGGGAGGCTGCTCTGAGAAGCTGATGTTTCAACTGACACCTGAGTAACAAAAAGAACAGGCTATGGACCAACCTGACGAAGAGTGTTCCAGACAGAGGAATAGCAAGTTCAGAGCCTGAGGCAGGAAGGAGCTTGGCATGTGGAGGGGACAGGAAGGGAGGGCGGAGTGGCTGCAACAGAGTACACAGGTAGGAATGGCCTGAGGCCGGGCTGCAGAACTTGTCAAGGGTGAGACAGCCCAGGCCTTGGCAGGCACGAGCTTTCATCCCAGGTGCTTTGGGAAGCTATGTGAAGCATCCAGACAGAGAAGTGACCTGACTCTGGCTGGGGGCTGGGGAGAGTAGACTGGAAAGTGTAAGCAGAACAATGCTGCTCCGTGGGTTCAAATTCTGGCTTTGCCACTTTATGTCTTGTTACCTTGGGCAAGTTACTTAACCTCTTTGTGCCTCAGTTTCCTCATATTGTGGTGGCTAATCGCTTGGACTCTGAAGACAGACCATCTGGGGTTCAAACCCTAGCTTTACTGTTTGCATGCTGTGTGATATTGGACAGTTTTCTAAGCCTTGACATCCTCATCTGCAAAATGAGGGTAACAGTAGGATCCAGCTCAGTGGGTTGTTGTGAAGGTTAATGAGTTAATACACACAAAAGCTATAAGAGGGCCCAGAATTTAGTGAATACTTCATAAATGTTAGTTGGTGCTATTACCATCATTGTCATCATCATTGTTATCATGGCTATTGTAATTGTAAGACATATGACTGTGGACAAGTAAATTTCCTTTTCTGCACCTCGTTTTGCACATCTGAGGATGATAATTACTCTCTCCGGGTTAGTTGTAAGGATTCAGTTTATATCCGTGTTTCCTCCACACAGTGGGAGCTGGCGTAAGGGCAGCCGTCCCGGTTCTGCGCAAGGCCTGGCATTGGCCAGGAGGGCCTCGGTGCCCTCCGTGCTGAACATGAGCCACACATGAGGGCCCGTGTGTCCCCCACCCCCAAGCTTCTTCACACGTGCATCTTGCTTAGACCTTCAGCAGCTTCATAGGAAAGGTAGCATGTCTCTATTTCATTCCTACCAAGGAGAGACAAGGCCCAGAGCACGCAGGAGTTTGTAGCTGGCCTTCCTTTAAGGTCTAGAACCCAAATGGTGGTGGTGATGAGGGGTGTTCCAAATCCCACTTCACGGTTCCTTTCAAATTCAGAATCCTTCAGAGACATGTGGGGCAGCTGTTCTCATCTCCATGTCACAGGTGAGCAAACAGTGGCCCAGGGAGGCATCACTTGCCCAAAGTCACATAACAAGTAACAATTTGGATTTCCCTTCTGAGGCCAGGATTAGTCTGAATTTGACATGGCCTCCATAGAGCAGGCCTCTTGGTTTGTTGCCCCTTTTCTTCTTGAGCCCAAGACAGCTGGGTGCTGGTGGCTCTATGACTACTGTCCTTTCCTCCCCATACCCGTCCTTGCCTGAGACTTGATTAATAGCCAAAAGGCTGAAGAGTGAGCACTGGATTGGGCGTTCAGCAACAAGGGTTCTACTTCCCAGCTCTGCCCATCCCACGGTGTCTCCTTAAAAAGGGGATTATGTTCTCCATGGAGCAAACAGGTGTGTCTGTAGGTCCCCATCTCCCTTCCAGATAGAACTAAGTAAATCCAAGCCAAAGAGCAGGAGGAACAATGTGAACTGCAGAGGGGACGGCCAGTGGCCACCCAAGTCTATGACAGATGGAGATAGAATTGAGGCCTGCAGAAAAGGGTGGGATGGGGGTGGCTAAAAAGGGAAGGTCTAGACGAGGACTAGCTGTTTGATGATTGTTGGAAGAGAACATGGGTTCACTTGGCAAAAGGAAGAGTTGAGACTGGACACTGGGGAGAGCTCGAGAGCATTGTGGAAATGGGCATGGAGGAGGCTGGAGTACAGCCTGCTCTGTGGAGGAGGGACAACGGATGACATGCTTTAGGGGCTCTTCGGATTCCAGGGGTGGAGGACTTTGATGTCATGTAGCGAAAGGAGCCCTGGACTCCTCCTCTTCACTTGCTCCGTGACCTCAGAAGGCCTCACCTCCTGCTTGAGGCCTTCTGTTTCTTTTTCTTTCTTTCTTTTTTTGAGACAGAGTCTCACTTTGTTGTCCGGGCTAGAGTGCCAAGGCGTCAGCCTTGCTCACAGCAACCTCAAACTCCTGGGCTCAAGCAATCCTTCTGCCTCAGCCTCTCCAGTAGCTGGGACTACAGGCATGCGCCACCATGCCTGGCTAATTTTTTTTTCTATATATTTTTAGCTGTCCAAGTAATTTCTTTCTATTTTTAGTAGAGACAGGGTCTCGCTCTTGCTCACGCTGGTCTCAAACTCCTGAGCTTAAACGATCCTCCCACCTCGGCCTCCCAGAGTGCTAGGATTACAGGTGTGAGCCACCGCGCCCGGCCGAGGCCTTCTTTTTCCCATCTGGAAAATCTGCTGGCAGAACTGGCTGGCCTCTGAGGTCTAACTTCGGTGACTTCTTCGCTCTAGGGCTTTCACCTGTTCTTCCTCTCGGACGATGAGTGTGACACACGGCCCTTCATCCTCATGAGCCTAGGAGCCGAGGTGATACGGATGAGGAGAGACAAATTTTATGAACTGATTGATGATGAGATAAGAGAGAGTTTGTCCAAGTCCAAGGTTGAGTACCCCAGGTCAGTGCTGGAAATGTGCATAAATCCCAGCAGATAAAATGAACAGTGTTTTCACCGGTTATTTTAGTAAAAGAAAAAAAAAAAATGCTGACAAGGGCAAAACGACACTGGTAGTTGTACACTACAAATTGGCTCAATCCTTTTGATAATTTTAGCATTATGTTTCAAGGGCTATAAAACTGTCTCAACCCTGTGAGGCAGTGATTCATTTGTGAATTTATCTTTACATAGCCAAAATATGGGGAAAGCTACCCACATTAAGATGTTCACAGCAGTCATATTCATAATAGAGAGAAAAACAATGACACCACCACCCAGGTGTGCTTCACTAAAGGGATAGTTTAGAAAATTGTGAGAAATTCTTTTGATAGAATGTAATTGTTTTATTTTAAAAAGGTAAGTTTAATGGCTCTATAGCAGCAGGGTAAAATGGGTGATATAATGATATATGAAAGGGCCGCACAAAATTGTATGTATACCATGACCACAGCTTTTAAAGCACTTGTATAAGAAAAACCTAAAAGGAAATAAGCAAAAATGATAATGGCTATGGTGTTATCCAATTTGTAATAATTTTTTTCTGTGGAAGGCAGGACTAAAGGGGACTTTCTGGTTATATGTTATATATTCCTCTCATGTTTGCTCTTGCAATGAGTATGCATTGCTTTTATAATGAGGGAAACAAGATACATTTTTAACAGTTGTCAGTGTAGAACATTCCACGTGGGTTTATTTTTTTTTTCTTTTCCCTGTTCCCCAAATTTTCAGTAGTGAATGACATACTACTTTTATAATTCTCAAAAATATCTGTCTTGAAAGATTAGATAAAAAATGTTTCTTTGTACTTCTTCATAGTTCCCAAATTTTCCAGAGAGAAAGTTAATGCTTTTATGATGGAGAAAATAATTTTTTTAAATGTAAACATTTATTTATTACCCAGACCAGTGGTCTCAAAACTGTTTTCATCTCATACCACTATTACTAAAAAGTGTTTGAGTATGTACTTCCTGGTGTACATATGTAATATAAATGACATGTGGTTTTTTTTTTTTTGTTTTTTTTTTGAGACAGAGTCTTGCTCTGTTGCCCAGGCTAGAGTGCCATGGCATCAGCCTAGCTCACAGCAACCTCAGACTCCTGGCTCAAGCAATCCTTCTGCCTCAGCCTCCCGAGTTGCTGAGACTATAGGCACTCACCACCACGCCCAGCCAATTTTTTTTTTCTATTTTTAGTTGTCCAGCTAATTTCTTTCTATTTTTATTAGAGATGGCATCTCGCTTTTGCTGAGGCTGGTCTCGTTTGACCTCAAGTGATCCTCCTACCCTGGCCTCCCAGAGTGCTAGGATTACAGGCATGAGCCACTGCACCTGGCCAATAACATGTGTTAATTAATTTATTTTTAATTATTATATCCACATACAGTATTACTGCACTGATATATATTATAAACATATAAAACAGATCTTTAAAAAGGTAAGACAGGCCAGGCACAGTGGCACACACCTGTAGTCCCAGCTACTTGGGAGGCTGAGGCAGGAGGATCACTTGAGCCCAGAAGTTTGAGGTTGCTGTGAGCCTGGCTGATGCCATGGCACTCTAGCTGGGGCAACAGAGTGAGACTCTGTTGCAAAAAAAATTTTTTTTTGGTTTTAACAGTTATGTATTTATTCTAGTGTGAATTAGAAAAACAACATGACTAGCTTACTATCCCCATTATTTGACAGATTTTGTTGCTTAGGACAAAGCTAGAGTAAATATTTAAGTAAAAGAAACTAAGTGGATTTAAGAAAAATCATTAGTAAATTTAACACATTGACTGCCACACACAAAAAACCAGAAACATTTCCTTGGGGCATAGTATTTTATTACAAAAATAGAATAAAAACTTCAAGTGTAATTTAAAGATAAACATAAATATAAAAATGAAATTTATTGACTTCTATTCATTTAATCCATGTTTTTAGGATTAAATTGTCAATATTAATTGCAACAATAAGAACATCAAGAGTTGCGCGCGGATAAAAAAAAAAAAAAAAAGAACATCAATAAATAAGATTTTATGTGTGCTCCGGGCTCAAAACTAAAAGTGAGTTAAATACAACTCTTATGGCAGCTAATCTGTTAAAGAACAAGTGATATGTAGATATGGCCAAAATTGGAGCATTTTTGTGAGAAAAACAGTCAAGAAATACTGGTGGTTCCTTCCAGTTCAAAGATGCCACATATGTCTGATTCCTCTGTCCTACCGATGTAGAAAATGGGTTTTAGACCTATGTACTCAAAAAGAGTTTAAGGAGCCTTTGCTGCACACATAATGCCTGCCACGTGGCAGGTATCAGAGCATTTCTGTTGACTTGGAATTCAGGAAAGGCTTACTCACACTCGAGGGGACCAGATGGAACACACAGCATCTGCACGGCCCAGTCAGCACTTTGCCACACTCGTCTGTAATGCTGACAGACAGGATTCTGTCTTTTTAATTTTTTTTGAAACAGAGTCTCACTTTGTTGCCCAGGCTAGAGTGAGTGCCGTGGCGTCAGCCTAGCTCACAGCAACCTCAAACTCCTGGGCTCGAGCAATCCTCCTCCCTCAGCCTCCCGAGTAGCTGGGACTACAGGCATGTGCCACCATGCCCAGCTCATTTTTTCTATATATATTAGTTGGCCAATTAATTTCTTTCTATTTATAGTAGAGATGGGGTCTCGCTCTTGCTCAGGCTGGTTTCGAACTCCTGACCTCAAGCAATCCACCCACCTCGGCCTCCCAGAGTGCTAGGATTACAGGAGTGAGCCACCGCGCCTGGCCAGGATTCTGTCTTATTTGTTAATTGTTGAACTCTGCTAAAGCAGACAGAAAGCATATCCATTATCTAGCTCAAATCACTTGTTTAATTGAGGACTTGTTTTAATTGAGGACTTGTTTTAATTGAGGACTTGTTTTAATTGAGGACTCTGAGGTCCTGAAGATCTCAGAACCAGTGGCAGAAGTACCTGTCTCCTGAATACCATGGGCTGGGACAGCCTGAAAATCACCCCTCCAGGGCACACCATGCCAGAGAGCATAAATAGCTGCATCCGTGAGAAAGTCAGGGAAGCCCCAAGGGCCAAAATGAAGACGATCCCAAAACCAAGCAAATAGGGTGAGCTAAAGCTGGGATGGCCTTGGAGGGCTTAAGGGCATCATGGCATGAATTTTTATAGCCTGCAAGGACAGATGCTTTCAGCTCAAGTAAGGGAGGGGATAGGAACTGAGGAACCCCCACCCCCACCCCCGCAGCATGAGAAGGTGACATGTGGAAGCTTGTCTGTCTTAACTTGGACTCTGGGTCAAAAAATATATATCCCTTAAGAATCAGTAATCACATGCTTGCCCCCTTGAAGGTTTTGGTGAGTCCCTTAGCCTCTTTGGCCCTAGTTTCCATGTTTGTGAAATTGGGTGGTTGTGAAAACAAATGAGTTAAACAATGTAAAGTACTTGACACATGTTAAGTTCTAAGTCAGAGTTTGCTATTGTTGTTATTTACTATGTGAGAAATTGGAAGTTAATGGAACTTTTAAAGTGGAGGACTATCTAGTGCTGGTAGATGTTTTGACAACCTGCTCTCCAGGAGGTGGGAGGACCCTGCTTTGTAGTGTTTGCTGATTTCCTTTCTTTTCTTTTCTTTTCTTTTCTTTTCTTTTCTTTTCTTTTCTTTTCTTTTCTTTTCTTTTCTTTTCTTTTCTTTTCTTCTCTTCTCTTCTCTTCTCTTCTCTTCTCTTCTTTTCTTTTCTTTTCTTTTCTTTCTTTCTTTTTTTTTTTTTTTTGAGACAGAGTCTCACTTTGTTGCACAGGCTAGAATGAATGCCATGGTGTCAGCCTAGCTCACAGCAACCTCAAACTCCTGGGCTCAACCAATCCTCCTGCCTCAGCCTCCCGAGTAGCTGGGACTACAGGCATGCGCCACCATGCTCAGCTCATTTTTTTCTCTATATATTAGTTGGCCAATTAATTTCTTTCTATTTATAGTAGAGACGGGGTCTCGCTCTTGCTAAGGCTGGTTTCGAACTCCTGACCACGAGCAATCCGCCCGCCTCAGCCTCCCAGAGTGCCAGGATTACAGGCGTGAGCCATTGTGCCCGGCTGTGTTTGCTGATTTCTGGGGTGTAAATACTGCTACCAAGGCCAATTTCAAACTGTTGACCTTGTGTTGCTAAACATGGAGTTGAGAAGAGATGCTCACAGTTAGCTTTCGTGAGCAGGCAGAGGCTGGCATTGTCATATTGCTGAGACTAACAGGGCCAGCATGTGGCCTCTGCTGACCTCTGGGTGTTTTCTTAAGGCAGTCTCTATGGATCAAAGTCAACTTTGTCCTTGTCAACATAACCTAGCCAGAAGAACATTCTGATTTGTTAGTAATTTATTAGGCTTACTTCCTTAGGTAAGAGAGTACAGGCAAGTCCATTGAAGTTTAACACACCCTTGCCTTGCTGTGGTCTCAGAAGGAAAGAGGCCAATGGGTGCTGAGCCCACCCCAGCCTACCCCCACATTCCCACCGTCACGTGCCATGAGTGAAGGGGGCAGCATCGACCCTGAGCACCATGAGCAGTCCGAGGCGGCCACCAATCTACTTCCTGTCTCTGTAGATTCGCCTGTCCTGGATATTTCACATAAATGGAGTCACATAATATGTATAAACCACACTTTATTTATCCATTTGTCAGTTGATGGATAATTGGATTATTTCCACTTTTAGGCTATTATGAATAATGCTGCTGTGAATATTCCTGTACAAGTATAGACATTTGCATTTCTCTTAGGTATACCTAGGAATGGAATTGCAGGGCCATATGGTGACTGTATGTTTAACTTTTGAGAACCTGCCAGTATGCTTTCCATGGCGGTTGCTCCAGTTTACATTCCCCCCAGCAATGTATTGGAACTTTTGTTTCAGTATCCCCACATCCTCATCAATATTTATTATTATTAATCTTTTTGACTGTAGCTGTTCTAGTGGGTGCAAGTAGTATCTCATTGTGGTTCTGATTTACATTTCCCTGATGGTTAATGATCACATATGGAATTCAAATTTTTCAATAGTTACATTCTAAGAAGTAAGAAGAATCAAGTGAAATTAATTTTAATAATTTGTTTTATTGAAGTCAATATGTCTAAAGTATTATCATTTCAACATGTTATCAATATAAAATTATTAAGGAGATATTTTATATTCTTTTGTCCTAAGTCTTTGAAATCTGGTGTGTATTTTACACTCGCAGCTCATTTCTATTTGGACTGGCCACACTTCAGCTACTCGGTAGGCACATGTGGCTCGTGGCTGCTGCATGGGACAGCGCAGATCTAAGGGAATGAGTTGTGGGGAGGGAATGGAGGCAGAGGGAGAACCTGGGAAAGACAGAGAGGTGGGATGACACCCCATGTGCATAGGGATTGGAAAGAGGGGCAGGAGGCAAGACTTGGGGGGCACGGGCAGGGAGGGGCTGGCACGAGAACCTCAGCTTCTGTGCCTGCCCTCCAGTGATGAAGAAATATGCCAGAAGTTCCTCAAGGAGAACAGCTGGAATATGTTTCAGAAGGACCTGTTGCGGCTGCTAGTGGAGCCTTGCCGGAGTCCACTGTTTAGCCCAATCCGGCCCAAGAAGAAAGGGATCTACGACCCCAAGTGCCTGGTCCTGGATTTGTGTAGCATCAACAAGAAGACTCAACCTCATCATCCTGTTTTTATGGCACCCCGGAAATACCTCCCTCCACTGAGGATTGTCCAGGGCATCAGGGCACCCAGGTACAAAATCCAGGAGCTCCTGCCTCAGTATAAGAGTGCGGGAGTCCTTGTTTAGAATCAATAAAAGGTGTTGGACTGGCCACCATGTCTGCTAAGTGACCACCATGGCAGCTGTGGGACTTGGAGGAAGAGGGCCTGGAGGGCTGAGCTATGGGTCCAGAGGGGTGTTTGGGGACAGCAACTGGGGCACAGCCTCCCTTTGGGTGCCTGATTGAGTGATTAGATGGTCAGGAGTCCAGGTGTGGATGGGTTAATAGCTGGGGACGGCCTCAGGGTGGGAGGGTGTCATCTGGTGAGCTGGGTGGGAGGTGGGGTAGAGTGAGGGAGCAGGTGGTGGCCAGATCAAAGTGGTCAAGGCTACAGTTGCGAACACAAATGCCTTCTGAGGCCAGACAGGTCATCTAAAGGAGCAGAATGGCAGGGCTGGGGCGGCAGTGCTGGGGACCTGCTGTGTACATTCTCCATCCAGATGGAGCAACTAACCACTCTTTGCCCCTGTCATCTGATGTCATGCCAGAAAATGAAGCAGGCCCTGTATTGCCCGTCTGTAGATTTTTCAAGAGAATCAAGAAATGTAATATATATATATACATATATATATTATATATATATACACATATATATGTATATATATATATATATATATATATTTTTTTTTTTTTGAGACAGAGTCTCGCTTTGTTGCCCAGGCTAGAGTGAGTGCCGTGGCATCAGCCTAGCTCACAGCAACCTCAAACTCTGGGCTCAAGCAATCCTCCTGCCTCAGCCTCCCGAATAGCTGGGACTACAGGCATGTGCCACCATGCCCAGCTAATTTTTTCTATATATATTAGTTGGCCAATTAATTTCTTTCTATTTATAGTAGAGATGGGGTCTCGCTCTTGCTCAGGCTGGTTTCGAACTCCTGACCTCAAGCAATCCGCCCGCCTCGGCCTCTCAGAGTGTTAGGATTACAGGCGTGAGCCACTGCGCCTGGCCACAAAATGCAATATTTTAGATTATTCCTATTGGTTTTTAAACATGAGCAACTAATTGAAATTGTTTTAAAATAGTGTCAGACAGACACAACACATACATGGGCTGTGTTGGGCCTGCAGGCTGTGGGCTGGGCCTCTGTCAGACTGGCAGTGCCTGGCCAGAGAGTGGAGTGAGAGTATGTGTGATAGGTGAGGGTGGGGGTGGTGATACAAGGAGCCAGAGAGAGGCAGATGGGTCAGCATGACAGGAGCTGTGACACAGGGGGCAGGCCAGACACACAGATGCAAGAAGGTGACAGCTAAAGAGGTTACCTCTGTCCCTTTGGGATGGGGTGGGTCTTTAATCTGGGGCCGCCTGTCCCTGGCCTGGGCCTAGAACTCAGGGTTCTTGTCTCCAAACAGCTTTCACACCACAGACCAAGCCCCAGGTCCCCCCACTCCCTTAGGAAACCCCGCTGGTTAGCATGAGAGCGTTGAGGGGCCTGGTAGAGGCCATGGCTGCAGGTCGGGAGCCTGGGCCTCACCTCCCCCACCCTGGGTGAAGAGCGGGCTCTGAGGAATTCCTGAGTGCTGAGCTGGGAACCCGGGAACTCTGGCGAGCCTGGCTCTGCTTCTCTTTCACTGGACTCACTTGAGCACTTCAAATCCTTGACCTGTACCTCAGTTTCCCCAATGGTGAAATGAGCAAGTTGGCCAAGATCGATGATTTTCATGAATGAAGGGTGAGTACAGTTTGAAAAGCATATTCAACATTATAATTCTGCTTGTTGAATTTAAAAGAAAACTGTTTTCATGTTGCGCACCCAGAAAGGAGGTGTATGACATTTTTCTCTCAGACACGGGTGTGGATGTTAAAGGGTAAAGAGGCAGTGGACTTTGGGACCTTGATTCGCTGATAGCCTCAAAGCCAAGGAGTCAGGGATGGCTGCTGCAGTCCTGGAAGGGCTGTCTGTGACCTACAAGGACAAGGGGTCACTCTGCTGGAGCCAGGTAAGTTGGGGTATCTGACTGTATTTAGGGATCTTTTTGCATTTGGGGCTGTGGCTCCAAGTTGATGACGTGAACTTCTTGTTAATTCATTTGAAATTTACTTATCAGCACTTGCTCCTTGGCAGTCACAGGAGGGTAAGGTGCTGTCTCTGTTGCCCTTTATTCTGTAGGTGAGGGGTCAGCAGACTCTTTCTGTAAGGGGCCGGATAGTAAATACTTTAGGTTTTGCAGGCCATGTTGTCTCTGTTACAGCTGCCCACGAAAGCAGCTGTGGAAAAGATGTAAACGAATAGCTGTGGCTGTGTTCCAACAAAACTTTACTTACAAAACAGGTGGCAGGCCAGATTTGACCTGCAGGCCATAGTTTGCTGACCCCTGCTCTAGGCAATAGGGAGCCCTTGAAGATTCTTGAGCAGACATGGCATGGCCAAAAGAAGGGAGAGGAGCTAACATAATTGGGCACTTATTATATGACAGTCACCTTGCTGAGCATCTGCTGTGGCATCCAGTGACCTGTTGGGTCCTGCCAGCTCTGCCACTTAGTGGTTGTTGAGTATTAAAAGAGGTGGTACTTATATGACAAGGTGAAAGATTTTGCTCACCAAGATCCCTGGGTCCCACTTCTTGGGAATTGAGAAAAAAAGCTTCTAGAATAACAGGCAGAGCATGTTTTCTAGGGGAGCAATGGGGGAGAAAGTAGCCTAGAAGAGCAATGGGGGGCGAGGGTGCTGAGTGGGGAGAGAGACGGGGCTGGGCTTCAGGAGGTCTGAGGGGAGCAGAGAGCAAGGGCAAAGCTTTTCTGAAGCTGCTGCATATGTAACAGAAGAACCTGAGAACGAGAAATGTCTAAAGAGGGCTTCGGGAGCTTTACTGGGCATCAAGAACGTGTCCTCCTTGGCATTTGTTTGAGAAACTAAGTGAACATTCAAATAGCTCTTAATGACAGTATGATGCAATACTGCTGTCTCTGGGTTGGTCCAGTCACCAGGCAGAGTGGGCAGCATGAGGCCTTAGTTATATTCAGGTTGTATGTGTGAAGTCCCTGGCACATGGTAGGTGCTCAATACACGTTCAGTGTTATTAGCATCTTTTTTACCAAGATCAACTTGATCATCCAGAGACTCTCTTCCTCCTTCTTCAAGGGACTAGGAAACAAGACTTTGGAAGACTGGGCCCTCATAGTCAGTGATACAGGCCATCACCAAGTGATTTGGGCTGGGGGCCCTGGCTGACTCCTCGCCCAACCCCCACTCTTCTCTAAGTGAAGGGGAAAGGAATTTTTTTGTTGTTGTTCTCTTTTTTTTTTTTTTTCTGAGCACTGTCTTTTACTATTTATTTTTATTTATTTCGGCATATTACGGGGGTACAGATTTTAAGGTTTCAATAAATGCCAGGGGAAAGGAATTTTTAATAATTGCACAAGGAGAACAAGAGAAGCTGCCTGAAATCTATCTCCCCGCCTAGGGGAGATCATAGGCTTTTAAAGCAGGGCCTGGGGCAGGTCATGGTGTAACTAACAACGGGCTACTGCACTGGGGCAGGTCATGTGCATTGGGGCAGGTCATGGGGCCTGGTGATTCTTGGCATGATGCCTTACCCTATGAGGCTGGGGGAGTTTGTCTTCACTCCCTTTTCTTTTCTTTTTTTCTTTTTATGGGAGGACAGGTCTCACTTTGCTGTTGGGCTAGAGTGCAGTGGTGCAATCATAGTTTACTGCAACCTTAAATTCCTGGGCTCAAGCCTTGGCCTTCTGAGTAACTGGGACGACAGGCACACACCACCCCACCTGGCTAATTTATTTTTCGTAGAGGTGGGGTCTCGCTATATTGCCCAGGCTGATCTTGAACTCCTGGGCTCAAGCAATCCTCCTGCCTTGGCCTTCCAAAGTGCTGGGATTACAGGCATGAGCCACTGTGCCTGGCCACATTCCCTTCTTTTTTATATGCCTCCTACTCAATTTGCTGTGTTCTTCCCTTCTTTGTTGGTACCTTAAATTAGGCGTCTGCCTGTCTCTTCAGCTCTAGATAGAACTTTCTGCCTCAGATCCCTTGTGACACCACAAAGTTGGTGTCTGGATTGGCTGGCTGCGGGTGAGGGCTGTTCCCCTCTTGCTCCCTGATTGAAGACTGGTCACACGGAGGAAGGCAGTGGACTCAGGGCTTGTAAGCTTTAACAAAACTGGTCATCTATGATGTTAACGGTTAGAGACTGAGACCATAGCTTTTCCTGAGAGCAGATTTTTATCTTGAAGTAGATGCTGTCAGGAAGTCCTTCCTGTCATAACTTAAAAACTCATGTTACTGTAAAAGACTTTTTCTTGTTGTGTATAAGGTAGAGATGGGGAAGAATTGCTCATCACTCTTCTGGAAGCCTCCTCCCAATTAAGGCAGCCCCTTTCCTCTTTCCACTTGTCCAGTTTTACTGCTATCACAGAGCCACGGGTGGCAGTTATGAGCAGGGGTTCTAGACTTAGGCTGCTCTGCCCCAGACCAGCTGTGTGACATTAGGCAAGTGACTTTTCTTTGCCTCAGTTTCCTCATCTGTAATATGGGAATAACAAAAGCATCTGTTTCATAAAGTCATGAAGATTGAATTAGGTCATTCATGTAAAGCATGAAATTCGGAGTTTGACTTTCATAAAGCAGATGCCTGGGGTAGGAGGAAAGGGGGCTGGAAGGGACAAAATGGTACAGATAGCGGGTCTGTGAGCCCTGCAGACCAACAGGGAAGCTGGCCTTGCCATCAGAGATGAACTGAAGTGTCCTTGGTGTGGGTATTTCTCAGTTTAACAGATGACAGCAGCTAGGGCACTTGTACACATGGAAAGCTCTCACCAGTGAAGCATTCTGCATTTGCACATTGGCTGCTCCATTTTTGTTCATATCCTCATTGGCTTCGAAGATTACCAGCTATGGGGTATTCCTCCTCCTCTTTCTCCTCTTTGGGAGAGAGCCCTGGAGACCACTGGCTGCCACCTGATCCCCCCTTCCCATCACACCAGTGCTGTCTTCTGTCCCTCTCTTGGTCCCTCAGCCTCCAGGTTCCTGGGCATCTCCATGAGACAGGGGGGCCTATGAGAGCTGGCAGGACTAAAGCTAAAATCTACAGGAATCCAACCAG